CGATGGGAGAACGTCGACGAAAGGTTTAAAAAAAGATGAAAAAAAGTAGCACATCCGAAATTTAGATGGGCTTTGTTTATATTTAAAACTTTTGAACAGAAAATGTTGCGCCTAATTGAAACTCTTTTGGGCAAAGTCAACAAATAAACAGCTGAACCGAGACACCGAGGCCATTGACGTCACAGCTTGGAAAAGTTTGTGCCACGGGGGAATTTCTCTTATTCGAAGAGTAAGTCCTTTTAGAAGGTCCTTAGGAAAAGACGTTGAATGTCCTTGATTTGTGCCACAGACGAATGTTTCTTTAGCAAATCTTTTCTTAGCCCCTAACAAGATTGATGGCAAATAACTAGCTGCATTTTCCATCTACATTGCCATCAGCATCCATCTCAGTGAATGAATGGCAAATCGGATCATGTCAATGCATCGCAGTGCAATTTGCAGTACTGATGCTGATGGGCCCCCAAACAATAGTCCTTTTGATTTGCGAAGGGTTAAATGGCCGAATTGACGAAAGGCGGCTAAAATCTCTTTGATCCCTTCCTGGCTCCTTTTCGCACAGCGATTTGCAAAAACATTTGCCACATACGTACTGCTTTGTATACAATATGTACATTTCCCCCAAATTTTCCGGCTTGCATTGTATTTGTTTATGGCAATATTGAGTCTGATTTTGTTTTGATTCAAACCGCAGAAAAGGTTGCCATTGTCGGAATAGTTAAAATAGCACACGGCAGTTGTCAATGGAGAGAGTTTGCTAACTGATTTTGACAACTAACTGGACTGAGAAAATTGGTAGCTGTTTTTCTAGCAGTGGGGGAAGTCCGTTTTTAATTACTTTAATTGGTTTAAAGAAAAATAGCTTTATACCATGTCCTTTTCATAGAAAAACTTTAACTTAAATTTTGAGCCAAAGAAAATTGGAAGTTTAAATTATAGAATAACTTTTAATTTAATAAAAAATAGTACATAGTATTTTTACATAAGGACCTTTTATATTATTATTTTAGCATTAGTGCCCCAATAACCTGTCTTAAAAAATCCTTTAACAGGAAGCCAATCAAGGTGCTCCCTTGTGGGAAACCCATTTCTCAATGAACTAATCATTCTGAAATCGTGTTTGTGGAAAATATCCTTCAAATGCAACTCCTTCTTACGAAATAATACCATCACAAAAAAAAAAGAAAACTTAGCTGGGAGAGGAGAATAGAGCAAATAGCATTAAACACATTCCGGCAAAACCATTCGTAAGCCACTGCGTGTGGCCGCAGGGTTATTTACCAGAGATTCAAGTAGAATGGTTAAGGATAAATGGATGGAGGAAGGATGGGTATCGGGGAAAAGCTGCCACCGCTAAATGCAATCGATGCACTGCAGCCGCGCACAATTTCCATTGTATTGGTGATTAATTTCTTGCCTCCGGGTGGCTACAGATGATGATGAAATGGTCCTGGGTCTCTCGGTGTCCCGGGCATCCCCACAAGGACTCGCATCTTCTCGCATCTAGCCTTTGTAAACAAGTTGACAGACAGGCATCCGGCATCCAGGGCATCGACTATTCCCTTCCTCGTGCACCGATGAGAGCTATATTGACGTTTGATGAGCGGATTATCATCGGCAGTTTCCCCTCGACCAGGACCAGGACAAGTGTCTTGGTTGGAGGTTGGTTTTTTTTTTATTTTTTTTCTCTCGCCACACAATAACTGCGCCATTTCCCAGCGATTTTCCTTAACAATATGTGCGCCAAACTGTTGAAAATCCTTCCCGTTTGTTCTTCAATGCTTGTGCTGCAGCACTTGTTGCAACCCGTCGGCAAATCGCTAAACTATTTTATTTTCCGTTTAGCTTTTATGAGTTCGTATATCGGTTTATGTCCACTCCGCCTGGTAATGCATAACTTTAACTTTTTAATGGCGAATCGTGTAAGCTGCGAGAAAGTTTTTATTTGGCTGTGAAAACGGCGCTGTAGCATGCATCTTGAAACTTAAAATATGAAATTGAAGATTGTGAAATTGCAAAGAAAATTGATTCATATATATTTATATATATTGAGCGACTTTACACCACTATTATATTTTCCATTAAAAACATAAACTTAACCCATATTGCCACCTTAACACATTCAATACCCGTAGAACAAGCTGAGTCATTCAACCGGATTCAAATCATACCCGTATTAATATCGTGCCGTTCGCTTTTTAGTTGCTCGCAATAAAGTCTAGTTTGATGCCAAGAGGGAGGGTTGGGGATTGGGGTTTGGGCGGGTGTGCAATAAAGTGCATCCAAGGCCGGGGTACAAAGTTGGCATGTTAGTTCCCATCCGCAGAATAACCCTCATAAATGTCGGGCAATAACAGGCAGTACAAATTGTGTGGCAGGATCATAAAGTGCACGCACGGAAGGAGTAAAACCGAGCAACCCAATTTTCTTTAAGCCACAAAAAGTGCAAGATGAATTACCGTTGTTTGGCCGTGTAAGTGAGTCCTAGCCGTCTCTTTTCCATTTTCCATGGCCCTCTCTCTATCTCTATCTGTACATTTGTGTGAGTGTGAGTATGTGTTTGTGTGTAGGTGAGCGTATAATGAGCTGCTGTTTTACATTTTAATTTCCGGCCACGTTGAAATGGCTGTTGGCTGTCCGTCCGGCTAGGAGCAGAGATTTGCGGATTTGCTTTTTGTCCTTAGACTGGCTCACATTTTCCACTGTTGTTGGCCGCAATTATTTAAATGAGATTACAAAAGACTTATGCAGCGGAAATCTTATTGTGTGTGTATATGTTTGCCGTTCATTTGTCTGCCGTTGGTTGCTTCTTCCTGCTGTATTCTTGTTCCGGATTCTGGGATTGTCTACTCCTAACTCCTCCTACTCGCCTTCTGGCCCGGCTCAGATTACAGCTTAGGCGACGTGTGTCAAAAGTTATCCCGGCCAATTGTTTGGCTTTTGTTCAAACAACAATAAAGTCAACGTGCATACCTAATTTGATTGTTAATTTTCCTGTTTTTTTTTTGGTCAAAAGATTAGCTTGGCGTTGGCCTGGGTCTGAGGCTTTAATGAGTTTACCAGTAGTTTTCACTAACCGACACATGTCAGTTTACAAAGTTTGCTCTAAAGACCTGGAACAGTTTTGTGAAAGTTTTTAAACTAAATAAATTAGCATTTAAATATGTTTATTAAACTGAAAGAGTTGGCTGGCAAAAGTAGTGAATATCAAATAGTTGTTAGGTTTTGGAAGTTGCTAAATGTTTATATATTACATTTTTGTGGTTTTACTTTTTAAACAATTTTATATATTATTTTAACGAGTATGATCCTAAATGAGTAGAGCGATTTTGTGTGGACTGTATAGTTTTTATTGTTTTTGATTGTTGTTTGGCTGCCTAATTGATACTAACGAAAATTTCAAAGTTGCCATATATGTGGAGATGTGCCAATGTTGCCATATGTGGCACTTATTCATATTGTATCCATTGAAAGGTGGATCTTAAGTCTAATGGGTATGGAAATATAAGGTTGGCAATATGAGCCAAGACTAGATACTAAGCGATGGTTCCTGAACAGAGTGTTTCTGCAATATTTCGTTTGCTAATTCATTACATATAGTCACTCATTTTCCTTGATATGAAAATATTTTAGGGAAAAAATCCATCAATCAATTTTTGTTAATCTATCAGATAAACAACCTTTTTAATTTAGCTTAGCGCATAAGTACAAAAATCTCTAAAATATTGCTAAAAAGTGTAGGTTTTTATTTATTAAAAACAAGGAAAACCTAATTTATTTTCTTTTATCATATTGCAAATATTTTTCCTGATAAGCACTTAGATAAGAAAGGAAAAATCTTCCTGCGTGCTTTTTCAAAATTGTATTTCCAAGGAAAACGCATTTTTTCTTTCCCCTCCTGGCTTGTTTCAACTTTATGGAAGCACTTAACCTGTTCCAGCTTCACTCACTTTGGAATTCAAATGAGCCCCCGTAAATCTCTACTCAAGAATGCGAAAACCTTTTTCATTGCTAGCCAAAGCCTTGCCCATCTCGTCACCACCATTCAGTGTCCAACAGATGCCACTTCTGTCCCGTTTTTGCGCACATTTAAGCAGGTGAAGCCTTTTGCACCTGGACGGACCACGCAGAATAGCTTTCAGCGCTGAGCAGTTCGAAGACTGCAGGACCACACCTAAGTGTCCTGGCCAGTCATCCAAAGCACAGCCAACACCGCAGGATATTTGTGCATACAATAGGAGAACAAAAAATAAGAAAAACAGTAGCAACGGCTTAAACAGAAACTGAAACAACAACGCCGATGACAATTTCCATTTCCCCCCATTTTCCATTCTCCTAGAGTTCTGGCTTGTGGGTTTGGCTTAACCTTGGTTTGCAAAAAGAAAAAAAAAACGGGGAGAAGAGGAGAAGTGGGTGGTGGTCAAGCTCAAGGACAGCGGCTGAGTAGAGTGACAGGACATTGGAGCTGTTGTTATTATTGTTGCAACTGGCATGTCTGTGGCAGGGAGAGCAATCTAGAAAAATTACTGCAATATGGAATAACAGTAACTATTGTGCTAATAGGATTAAAATGTATGCAGTATGGCCACAGGCGACGTCTGCCGTTGACAGCCTGAAAAAGGGGGTCAACGAAATCGCGCAGGAGGCGAGAGGAGAGACACCTTTCCCAGGTGTCAACAGATGCTGAGCGTTTTTCACCTGGCAACCTCACGTATCTTTTGTTTGCGATTATGACACATACCACACGGAAAAAGGTTTCAAATGCAGATAGGGCAAAACCCCGTACATACTCGCGTGTGTGCAAAGTGTAATTTGTGTGCACGGAGCGCGGCGATAAGTTTAATGGGAAACTCAAAAGTTGTGGGTATCTTAAAGTTAGTCAGTAAATCTTAAATTTTAAAAAAGAGGATATGATAGACTTACTTAAACGATACTAAAATGAATTTAAAGGTTACATTTCAACAAAAAATCATTTTTCAGAGCTTTTCCTTCATAAAACCACATTTTCCCCATCCAACAAGTTTACTCTTTATTCTTTTAAAAAGCGAAAATTATCTATGTCAAACATATGGAAATGCTAACTAAAAGAAGTTAAATTGCAGGATTAGTTCTTTCAGTTTGTGGGTAGTAACATTAATCTATTTCTCGGGACGACAGGGCCCATCTTTGCAAGGATCCCGACAGCGTTTGCTCTTCTCCTTCTTGTTCTCTCTTCTATAAGGCTCAGCCTCTGCAAAAAAAAATGATCAAATGTTAGTAATAAAACACCTTTACCAAGTATTTTACCCACTTTTAAAACAGCCGCCAAAGAACTGATTCTTTCCACAGGTTTTCTTGCCCTTTTCGTTGCCCTGACTTTCGTTCTTCTTCTGACCCATACCCCTTGCCAGATACAGTGATTGATGGAGTAACTTGCTCCTGGGCAGGACGTGTTCGGTCAACTTTAGGATACCAAACAGACGGGCAGGCATTACGAAAGGAATTAGCTGGATAAATGGAAACTTTTAAATTTTGTACCGATGACGAATGAAAATGGCTGCCAAATGAGAAATGAGGAAAATCGAGAGCATACAAGATTGAGCAAAACTATCGCCGCCTGCTAATCGAAAGTTTGCCACCAAAGTTTCTACATCCACAGAACGGAACGAAACTCCAAACTCTTTGCTTCCGGCGGCAACAAGTTTGTAATGACTTTGAGTAACTAATTAGAATGCAGCAGGATTACGATGCACACGCCCACCAAAATGCAAACACTTTAATCGAAAAAGTTCGCTCAGATTCAAATTAATTTTTCCCCCGTCATGTAAATCGCAATAGAATAAATTTCAACCGAAAAAAAAGAGTTTAATGGGAAAAAATTATGGAAGCTTTGAATAGGACTTACTTGGTATTAAAAGTTAGTAAATATTTACACATTAAGCTTTGGTTTAATGAAAAGGAAAACATACATATGTGTTATGTTTGCATTATTTAAAAACAGATTATGGATAAATAAAATCCTTTAAAGCACATTAATAATTAAACAAATAGTTGACGAGTTTTCTACTTTACGATATTTATAAAAGTCCGTAATATTTTATAGATAGGGCTGTACTTAAAATAAAATTATATATTTCTGATAATCAGCCAAACTAATATACATATACTAAACATTCTACACTTGAAATCCTTAAATATTAAAAGCTAACATTATCCCTATTGGCTTATTACTACCCCGTCTATGTAGCCATGGCCCTCGTTATGAGTCCATGAGTATCTCATGGATGCAATATTTAGTTTAAAGCAACATCTTTGAAGTATGTCAGAGTTGTCTAAGCTGAGCTGGCCTGAGAGCATTATCGTGTTTATACATACTTATAGAGCCATGCTCACATGCCTGCACATACACACACACACACACAGACACACATATTTCTTCTACGTTCGAAGTCAATGTTTTAGCACTTAGTGTGCAAGCTCATAACTGACAGTCAAGAGCAGAAAAGTCCAACAAGAGAAGGAGAGAAAAAAATAGCAGCCAGAAGAGGAAATGCGATGGAGAAAAGTTAAAAGTTCAACGTAGTTTAGCACAACGAAGTGGAAATGCTCTAGCACAGAAAGAGAGAGAGATGTGGAAAATACAGGAACGAGCTCTTGCCATGGAAATCCCATTAATCAATCCTTCAGCAATATCAAACAAGCTGGAAAATTTCAATTTCATATTTATCTACTCGAGTATCCTGAGGGTTGGATACGATAACGGTCTCGTTGATACGTTGATGATGTGTTGCAGTTGCCACATGCGGCACCTTTTTTTTTCGTTTTGGTCCTTTAGGTGCGGCTCCCTTTGAGTTAGGGTTTGTAGTTTATAATGTTTTTTTTGGGTATTTTTGCTAGGATTTTTCGCTCATTTTCTATTTATATGGGGTGCGAAATGTGAAAACTGTGGGCTTGGCTGCTTGTCGCTTTGATTGCAGTTTACATAGGTGTCAATTAGCAACGGTGCGGTTGGCTGCATTTCAATGGAATTATCGTTGATGTTTTCGCAGTTCTTCCCCCCTTAAATTCACGGCTATGTGCAACACACTTCGTTGACACACTCGAGGGGATCAAAGGAGGATTAGTAAGCACACTTTAGAGCCCCGAAATTGACACACAAATTACTAGTTTATGTTGTCGTTTATGGATGAAATTAGGTGTTTATGCTACGAAAATCCTCTCTTATTTTTAGGGAGTTATCTGTAGTGTGAGTCCTTATGACAAATTTTAAGCTGGAGTATTGATTTAACAAATACTTAATTTAATTCTTTGATAATAGGATATGTAATTGAAAGTTTTACCTAAAGAAATATAAAGGAAATTTTATATAATAATTATTATACATTAACAGGTAACTGGTATAGTTTTAGTTCACGTTTATGTTTCATACATTTGTGTTCATACTCATTTGACAACTCACGTCGGTAATCCATTGCGAAATAAACAACAAAATGCAAACAGAAGTTAAAAACAATGAAGATGAATCCACGAAAAAACAAAAAAAAACTATGTTACAGTTAGCTACGGAATGAAGCGGAAAGAGGAAAAAAATAGTTCACTGCGAAATAAACTCCAAAGTGCAAACAGAAGTTATTAGGAAGGAATTCCAGTGCAGTGATCGAGAAAGAAAGAACAGCTAGCGACGGAATGAAGCGAAAAGAAGAAAACGATTGATTGAATAGCTCTGCGAGCGCTCAAAGCTTAAGGCCGAGCAATCCCATATATAGCGAGCATTTACAAAAACAAATGAGCACTCAGAGCATAGGCGTTGAGCACCCCTGCTTTATACAAATTTAATATTGTAGCTTACCTTTAAGTATGTACTTCCCAACTTCTTCACTACAAACTCGTAAACATCCGAAAATGTTACGGTTGTGATTTCCCAACAGCTGTCTTACTTCCCCTTTAAAAATCAATAGCCAAATCGGCGACAGTCGAAGTAATGAATGTGATGAATAACTCAGAGTAATGTTACGAAATCAATAAAAATCCTTTTACAAGATCTAGGACACACCGCATACACGCACATTAAGGACATTGTCTGTCTCTCTATCTGTTTGTCAATGTGTGCGTTAGAAGAGACTTGGACAACATTTTTCTTTGACCGAGCACATTTTTATTATCCCAAACTAATTTGAGGGTTGGTCCTTGATTTCGCTTCCATCTCTGTCGCACCCTGAATGCCCTCTCCCTTGCTCCTGGGTTGTTGCCATGTTTTGATGTCATTCGCTACACGTGCTTAATTTCATTTAATTTATTTAATACTTGAAAAATAAGTTTTTTGTTTACTTTTGTATTGGGCCGACGGCCAACCAACCCCTCGGTCTCTTTGCTACTTCTTTCAGGTTCGAGTTCCTCCGATATACGGATGGTATATCTCTCCCTACCTATATTTTCCCCCCTCCCTTAACTACTTCATGGCACTTGGGCGTGTACAAATGCCAATGAATTCGCATTTCACCATTCGCCATGCTGCGTAACGAAAAACGTGAAAATTCTGGGAGTGGAAAATGGTATGGAATGCAAAAAAGGCGAAATAGAAATGCGGACTGCAAGACAAATCGTCCGCCGGGGAATTGTGAGGTTTGCCGGAGAATGCCTCGTCTGCATATTCATGATATCGGACGATGATGTCGAGAAGGAGCCTCCTCTGCATATTTATGGCCCTGTAGAAGGGCTGTCTAATATTAACCAGAAGTTTTGCCAGACCAGCAGGAAGTAGTTAAACTTTCATTAGCATCACCCCAGCTGCCACTATTACGGACTAGTCTTTGGGTATTGGCTGGTGTGAAAAACATTTAAAGATGTTTAATAGTAAGAACTATTCTAGCCCATTAAATACTATCTAAAACTTGAATAGAAGATTCCTTAAACATCTTCTCTAAACATCGCATTATTTCTTGTAAGTAAACCAAAAGTCTTAGAGGATTACTTGAAAAAACACCTAATCTTTCATCTTTGAATGTAAAGCTTTTCCCAAAGCATTTTCTTTTCACCCTTTGTATACCCTCTTACTTTTCGCAAAATTAGGCATTATCCGCTTTTGGCCACATTGTGATGGCGGCAAAACTAGTTAAGCGTCTGATTAGCGGAGCTGCCACCACTCTGACGCACATTGTTCGTTAGTGCAGTTTCCATGGTTTTGGCCCCAAGAATCCCCATTTGCCACCTGCCATTCAGATTCCCAATAAAAGCGATGGCTGAGAAGAGATTGCTAAACTTTTGACTATCCTTTCACCAAAAATTATGTTTCGAGGGAATGTGCGAGGGGATTGCTATCGGAAATGGGAAGGTCAGAATGACATCCGGGCTCTTGCATCTCGATTGCTCTGTTTTGAGGAGTTTGAAAATTTTAATAGTATATCTTAAAGTTTCTTTAACTACTTTTACAACACACTATTTTAAAAAAGTAAAGCTTTTACTGCCAACTAACATGTACGGCATTTAGAGATATCATTTATATTAAGGAATATAAATTTATTATGCTAATTAGGCCATGAATGTAGTACAAACTAACCGACTATAAGCTATGAATGGCTTACATAGCGAGGGTATGGAAAAATGTTACAGCATGTGACCTACATGGGCATAATTAATGCCGGTTCAGGGCTTCCAACCTGAAACCGCACTCGTGCCAGGGATCTCATCCTGTACCATTTCCTCTTCGGTGGTTGGTCAAATCTAATGGCGTGTGAGTGTATTTGCCTAAGCGGATTAACAGCGACCGAATGTGTGGGTGCACTGGGGAAAATTAAGTGCAAATAAGCAAAGATAGTTATTAAATTAACTATTTTTAGTTTTTTTTATAACGTTTTATCTCTTAAATATTCAAATTATTAATAGATATTTATGAATATTTGTTATATATCTTATATATTATGTAAAGGAAGAGGCTGATTTCTTTGAGTATAATGTGAGAGAGTGAAAAAGTGAAGCAGCGGTTTCTTTTCCCGCAAGTATCAAGTCAAGGTATCCAGGCAACAAAACCTTCTTATTTTCCTTAGATAAGTAAAGCAGAGTTATCGTAGCCACAGTCTCTTGGTGAATTGGGAAGAGATGAGCGGTCTGGGTCCGGCAGCCTGTTGGCTGGCCCACAAGCGCATCGAGTCCTGGTCACGAATGGCCAAGGAGCGCGTGGGAGCGGTACGTCGGGTTACACTCGATCGGAATTCGGCCGATGAGGGATCACCGAGTGGGAGTGGTAGTTCCTCGACTGCCGGGGGAAATGGGTCGACGGTGGTGCATATCCTACCGACTGGTGAGGGCTCTACCACTCCACCACCACAACCCATGACGCCGCCGCCGTCAGCCTCGTCGGTCACATCGACCACTAGCGGAATTGGCAGTGTTTCGGCCGGTAGTGTCAGCGATAGCTGTGATTTGCCCACGGACTCGGAGGTTCTTATATCTGGAGATTACTGTTTAATGAAACCTATTAATATGTATATAATTTTTAATTTTAATACCCCCAGGAGGTTGCCATTGCCAAGGAATGCCAGCCTATCCAACCGGCCAGTCAGTTGCATGGAATGCATGGCGGCATGGGCCTCAACCATCACCATATGGGCACAGTTTCGGCTACGGGAACGGACATCTTGCGCGGACCCGCCGAAGTGTTCCACAGTCCTCTACACTTGCACCACCAGAGCCGCTCCTTTCCGCCGCGTCTCCAGCGCACGCCGTCCATCTCTAGCCAGAGCAGCGTGGACAGTGCCCCATCTAGGCATTCGGTGAGTATTTCGGTTTTTTTATTTACAAGAAATTTCTAAATTTCCATCTACTTCTCAGGGTCATCGCGGCTCCTCACCACAGATAAGAACTTTTGGACCGGACGGACGTAGCTCGCTACCAAGTGAGCCGGCATTTCCACATCATTTGGCCAGATCACCCAGTCCCATGCGAACTATTTCTTTAGACGCCCGTTGTGGCAGCCCCGCCCACTCGGCAGATCCAGGCGATCTAAGGACACCTAGTCCTTCGCAGAGTAGCTTGGCCTCATTGGCTGGAGGTTCAGGGATGGGAGGCAGCAGTTCAGGAAAGGGTGTGGCTGGAGGTCGTTGCCTTTCGCCGCTGCTAATACCGCCACGTTCGCAGCCCGGAGTGGATCCCGCCATGGGTCCCGCATCACCATTGGGTGCACTTCAACCGGATCTCTACCGATTGCCAGACGGACCCGTTTACCTGACAGCTCCGGAATCCAGTCATGCCGTCGGACGTTTGCATCTGCGCGTTAAGTATGACTATCACCTTTTTGATCTTACGGTGCATCTGATTGAAGGTAAGTCTTTGAGTGCTAAGGATTGGTGGATTGGGTATTGCTATATATACAAAATAAAAATTAGAAAATTAATTTAACAACTGAACACAACAAATTTTATTATAATTGTAGTAAAAAGAGATATCACACAGCTTTAAAAACTAGTTCAAGCTAACAAACTATTAAAAACGAAACAGAAATATTAACATCGAATCCGCAGCACTTCGGTTATTCTTCATTAGAGGGATACTGATAGTAGTTAGATCTAACTTGTAAGACATCGCCATTACGTAGACCAAGAAATTCAGCAGTGTCATGGTCACCGACTCGAAGAGTATTAGCCCTGAAATATATGTTCTTTAGGCTAAGTTTATAATACTCGGCGTAGGCCTTCATCAGTTTGTACATCGGCATAGTGCGGGATATATTGAAGGCCAAAACTCTTCGTTCCATACAGCGCACCTTCAGATTAATGCGATCCATTTTGACAGTTGATATTTATGTAGTTTCCCTTTTAGGAAATAATATCCAATTTAAGACTTATGATTAGACATAAAAACGTCTGTAAACCTGACTGAGGTAACAATTTTTATTTCTAGCTCACAATCTCAGTCCCATTGAAGAGGGTGGCTTCCGGGATCCCTATGTCCGACTAATGTTACAACCCGAAGTGGACAGCCGAAAGCGGCAGACCCACATCCATCGTGGCGAATCGAATCCCTACTTTGACCAGCACTTTAAGTTCCCGGTTTCTCGCGATCAGCTCCAAGGCAAGGAGCTCATCCTCCAGGTACTCGACTATGATCGCTATTCGCACAACGACATTATAGGAGAGGTTCGCATCTCTGTGGATGGTCTGGATCTATCCAAGTCAGTGGAGGTAAGTATTGTCCTTAGAATGTAACTAAACAGATTGTAACTTTTAGAACAACTTTTAGATCTGGGGAGACTTGCTGCGTACTAAGAAACCCAAGGAAGATCGACCAGAGCTACTTTGTTCCCTGAACTATTTACCGCAGGCTGAACGATTAACAGTTGTCATTATGAAGGCTAGGAATTTGGACACTCTTCAAGAACCATATGTCAAGGTGAGTAGTGCAATGGAAAATTATTTAAAAAAGGTTGAGTTTCTTTTTTAAAACTTCTAAATATTTTGGCAGAATGTTCCTAATAAACCCTCATAACCCTTTTGATTTTTCAAAGATTTACCTGATTCAAAATGGCAAACGCATTAAGAAAAAGAAGACGAGCATCACTAAGTCAGACGATCCGACTAACCCCATTTGGAATGAGGCGTTCACGTTTAATTTGCAATCAAATTATCTTCACAATGCAGCCATCGAGGTAACCTTTGGCCTTTTGCCTTTTGGCTTTCATCCTGGACTAGGCCATAAACCGGTGGCCTGCGCCGTTTTTAACAGCTCGGCTGCTAATTCCGGGCAATAGCCTCGGTTTAATGCCCGGCCGTGTTTTAATTGAAAACCCCCACCGCCAATTTATATTTCTCTCTCTCTCTCTATAAATATATATCTTTATATTTTATCTTCCTAGATCTATGTGGTGGGTGCTGGTAGCGAGGCCACGGAAATTGGATGCTGCGGATTGGGACCACAGGAAAGTGGAACTGGATGCCAGCACTGGCACGATATGATTAACAATGCCCGAAAGCCCACGGCTATGTGGCACTATATCCGCTAGGCCATTCCACTATAATGAATTATGATTTTTAAAAAACCAAAAACCAAAAATCAAAACAAAAAACAAAACATTCAATTGCTCCCACATTGCGTCTTTATAGGTGTACTACTAACGTAACCGTGTCTGTGTGAATTTTCCAATTGCATTTTTGGGCGGTCCTCCGCCGCCCTTCAAAAGCTTAATAATGTTCTATGAAATCAAAATCTCATTTATATACATATATATTACATATATGAATGTACAATATATATGCGCTGCAGCTAACTAGCCCTCCAAGAAGCTCAATCAAAAGTTCCTAATCAACGACAGAAACTTCGAAAGGTAAAAGAGAAAAATGTCCCACGAAAATCTTATTTGTGGGTAATTTGGCTTAACGGTTCGGTTCTTTGTTTGTTGTGCATTTTGTGCAACCTCTTGAGAAAAAACAACACATAAAATCTGGTTAAAACGGTAGAGGAGGGTATACGAGTACAATAGGAAATCCGTAAGCGCACATCCAAAACTGTCAGCCAGACTTGTTGACATTTCCATCGACTTCTTAGCAGACACTTGAAGAGCCTGCCGCCTCCTTTTTTTCCAATCCTTAACCAAAAGGGAAGGCATTCAAGTGTACATTTCTTAAATAATTATGAATACACCGCAGCAGCACACGGGGAATAATAATAATAATAATAATAATTCGTATAGGTGAATGGTCGTCAATCATGCAGGAAGCCCGAACTCGAAGAAGGAATCGCCCTTTTGTGCCGGCGACAGTTGACAAATTGCCATCGTCGTTCTGTTGTCCTTTTGCCATTCGATCTTGTGTGCGTTTTTTTCGTCATGTCGTCAACTGTTTGACATTTTCGCCCGTAGAAAATACAAGAAAAAAGTTAGCCAAAAAAATAAGAAAAGAACGAGGGAAATGAAGAGAACTTATGGTAATTGTTAAGTTAAATACAATATATTCCTTCCAGCCGAGTACGTCTATCAAGGAACACCAACCAAAGAGCATTTCTCGAGCACTTTAACCTATTTTATATGTACTTACAACGAGCATTCCGTGGCAACTGAATAATAAGTCATTTATGGAAAGGGAAAGCTAAAGCTAATGCAGGCAGGGGTTGATCGATTTCTTTCGCATAAATCTATGAGTGTATTTTTGGTGTTGTCGTATGAACACTACGGGATGTCAGACCTAATAATGTGTGTAAAATATGCTATTTAATCCCAGTAAATATTGCAGAATACAAAAAAAAACAAAACAAAACTGAATGTGTGTGTAATTTAAACTTAAACAAAGACTTGAAAACATACATAGAGCACTGCACGTGTTAACTAGACAAAGGAAATACATACTCTAAGGAGCCAGAATATAAATATAAATATATATATATATATATATATATACATATATACATATACACAATACTTATACAAGTTTTTCTAAACGAATCCTTTCTACATAATTGTTTCACAATTTGTCCTTTGCCAAAAACGAAACACGAGAACAACATTGCTGACGACAACATTAAGTAAATAAACCAAAACAACAGAACAACAAGATAAATGCTGAAATACCTCCGATTTAAGCAGAACATTGTTACTTTACAACTATATAGTACGAAGAACATGAACTATGCACTCGGAATGCAAAAAAAGAAAAAAAAATGACACGAGGAAAACTTAAAAGCAAAGCGAAATGTACAAAAAGAAAAACTGCATATACAAATATATTTCCTACAAATAGTGTTTATTTATTATTGTAGCCTAAACAAAGGGGTCGCTGTTGAAAACTAAAACTAAAATTGAGGGATAACACCACCTAAAATATAATTATATACACATACAAACTACAAGACAACCTATATTCATATGAATGAAAATGTATATGTAAACTTAAATGTATGTGAATTTAAATTATTCGATAAATAAATAACTAAAAACAAAGGGATTAAGTTTTCTTGTAAAGGAATATTATTATTATTTATTATACAGATTTCTCATTAAACTTCTTTGCTTAATCTTAAACTTAAAGTGTTTCTTTGGTACCTTTTTGAATTTGGCGCTTTAAGGACAAAGCAGTTTATAGTAAAAAGCAGTACATAGCCTGAACGACAAAACAGTTTATAATATAAAGCGGTTCTCAGCTAGCACCTTTAGAAAGCAGTTCACAACTAGCTTATTAAGAAAGCAGTTCCCTTCAGTTGGCAACGCGAGTTGGTTATTGGTTTGTGACCCAACTAAAATTAGCAACGACGTTGATTTGGTATTAAAATAGTTTTGTTTATTTTTCAATTTTTCAAAAATAAAAAATGTGTATGGACTATTAAGAGTATTTCAAATATTACAAATTATTTAATTTTATGAAAATATCAGTTTTATGAATTAAAATATTTATGATTATTATAAAAACAAACTGAAAAATATAAATTCATTTTTTGACGGGCATTTCTTTGGTATTTTTAAAAATTGACTTTTTTAACTGAAATTATTAAAATTAATTTTTAATATAGATTTAATTTCAGCTTATAATAAATAATAAAATCTTAAATAAATATTTTAAAATATTTTTTTGATTTTGTTCGTATATTTTTTGTTTTTAATCTAGAATGCCAATAATTTTTTTCTCAGTGCATTTTTCCGAGCCGCAAACATATAACACAATGTGCGTTCTCATCTGCGCTCACACTGTCTCCAACCGTCGGATCGTGCGCACGTAAAAGATGTCGCGCGTCGAGTCTTTTGATCGCGAACCAAAATAAATCAAATAAAATAATATAAAACAAATCAAAAGTGTTTCTCTATAAATAAAAAAAAAAAAAATAAATGACAATCAGCTTAAATACAATTTAATAAATATTTAAGCATAATCCAAACCAAAGTGTGAAACTCAAACAACAAAGCTCAGTGAACCCGGTAAACAAATCAAACGACAAGTGATTATGGAATGCATTTGGTTGCAATGTGTGTTTGTGTGTGTGTGTGTGTATTGGTGTGTGAAGCTTTTGGGATGAATGTATTTGTGGAGGTCCTTTTGCGGCTCCTTTTGCATCCCTTTTGCAAAGTGGCGCTATTTTCTGTTTGATGCATATTGTTCTCCCATTGCAATCAAAGCGGAGTTGAAGCCACAATCACACGCGTACAGTGAAGACTCTTGATGATTAGCTAGCTCTGCTTAATATAATAAGAACTTGATGTCATATATATTTAATATTTAAATGCTAACCCTTCCAATCTGAATTCTTTGATTATTATTATTCCACAATATTTTAAACTCTGCTTAGAACTTACCTTAGAACTTAACCTTTTGACCTTACCGTTTTCCTGTTTTACATTTCCAATAATAAACTATAAAACAATAAAAGAACTAATAATATTTTATTATTTTTAATCATTAAAAGATACAAGTTTGATAAAGTTTTTGCCTATATATTTTGTAAGCCCCAAAATGGGTAGCATTTCCTTAAGTACACTTGACTTATTGAAGTAAGACTGTATTACCAAAGACAAAGGCTTCTTCTTCTCGGCTCAACCTCAAGCTGCATATGAGTTAATATTTGTCTAGTTTTTGAACATGCCGCTTTTGTCTCAGCCTTTGTGTTCGTACTCGTATTCGTCTGACGTTGACGCTGAAGTTGACAAACCAACCAGGTCCTGGTCCACTTTGGATGACGGCGTCTTTGAGGGGTTGGCAAGGGGGCAAAAGGGACATAGGGGCATCCAGCATCCACATCACAGCAAATAGCTCTACTTTCCACTCTCGCTGAAAGTGCTATCCTTTTGCAGGATAGCTGCAATGGCTGTGTGAATGTGCGGAGACGACTCCCTGGCGCTGTAAAATATGCAATTAGAAAGACATCAAAGCACAGTCACCGCTCAACCCAACGCTGATAGCCCGGCTGCCTCCCACCGCACTCCCACACCACTCCCCACCACTTACTTTCCCGCCTCCCTTATAGTACCACTCCCCTATTCTCTGTCGCCTGCTTGCTTTGGTATGCGCTTTGACACAAGCACGCCGATGCACTTAAATAAATTGTATAATTTTTGGGGGAGTTTTTAAAATTAAATATATATTTATTTTAGCTTTAGGTTTTTATTTCTTTTGAAAATTAACATTATTTCCCTATTAAAAATACTCTTAAAAACCAAAATTAGTTATACTTTTTTCGAGTGCAAATTGCAAGGACACTAAGTGAAAAAAAAAAACGTAAAAAGGGTGGAAAAGAAGGCTCTTGAAGTACCCAACCCGAAACGAGTCTCATCATTAGTGCTAACCCCACCGTTTGTGTCACTTTGTATGCCGCCACCACTGGCGCTTTTTGATATTATTTATTTATATTTTTCACTTTTAATAAAATGTTGTCGCCATCGCCGTTGCCATTGCCTTTGCCGTTTGCCATTGCCTTCGCTACTTTGCCTTTATGGACAAAAAGGAGGAGCAGGCCGTGAAGAGTTTGGAGCGCTTTGCCAAACTGCCGGCCAAGCGAGGTCAATTGGCTTAATTACTGTGTGACATCGTGGGGACAAGTGGTGTATGGCGATGGCGATGGTGGAGGCGTCTTCAAAATACTTCCACACTCGCCACTGAGTAAACAATCTTACATTTATTCATGTTTATTTCAACAGATAGCTCAACTGCCTATCAATAGAGTCCCTTGTGCCGCAGACCATTAAATTTAATCGCTTTTCATTTTTTGTCTGCGTTTTTTCAATCACTATGTAGTAACGAGCAACGCAGTTCCACTCTGCAATAAACATAAGCAGTAAAAGAAATATATTTGAATTTTTACATTTCTAAAATAAATCTAAAATCAACAAATATTTAATGAAAATATTAGAATAATATGAAAATATCATATAATATGTTAGTCTCAATAATTTGTAAACGGAAATATAAAAACCTACATAAAATCTATGATTTCCTGAACAATAATATCAATTTTTTTCTGTGGAGGAAAAATCAGTTTGTATATATAGTGTATAAACGCGTAAGCGGTGGCTTATCGAACGGATGCCAATTGGCCATGTAGATGAACCCAGTGAGACATTTGACTTGTGACACACTCATTTCCTTTGCCTGCAACTACTTATCAGTGTGCACAAAATGCACTCGACATAATCGTAATAAAATACAAACAAACAAAGTGCATAAATCAAGAAGTTCAGACAAAAAACAACGATAAAAATGCGCCTGAGTGGCTGGGAAATTCTGTTGCTCCTGCTGCCCTTTGGCGTGGTGAGTGCTGTGCGCCATTTGGAGGAGAATCAGAGCACCAAGAACGATCATCTACATTCTGGGGAGAGGCAGGTGCGACGACGCAATAATAAAAGTAATGCCTCTGTGGATCATCATCGGCATCCGTCGTCCAGTGGAACTAAGAAAAATAGTCGCAGTCATTCAGTTAGCCTGGATTCGGATGACTATGATTGGCTGGATGCGGATACCAGTGAGGCAATCGATAGCTCAGAAATCACGGCTGTGGAAACTGTGAAATCATCCGGAGAATCACATGGTAAGTTGATAAGACTTTTGATCTTTGTGACTTTTTACTGGCACTTCAAAAGCAGCCGCTTATCAGTTGGATTTGACAAACTCACGAGTGACAAATGGCTAGGGGATATCAGGGGGTTATTTAATTTATTTATTTAAACTAAAAAGTTGATTTTTAAGTTAATAATTCTGCAGTGCTTAAATACATTCCACATATGTAAGTCAGATTCATAGTTCGAATTAACTTTGCATTTTATTAAAGTAAAAATGTCTTTGAGCGGGTTAAAATGACTCCCAGATACATCTATCAGATCCTAGTTTGCATAAATCGATATACAAAATGCAAACATTTTATAGCATTCGGTGTTTTTTTTTTAATATTATTAACATTTTTAAAAACTGGTTTCTCTTTTAGTTAAACGTTGTTACTTTCATTCATTCATTCCCCTCACACCGACCCGTATTTTTAGGGCTGGTCAGTTCAGCTGCGATAGAGGATCCGACAAAAATATAATAAAAAAAAAAACTTTTTACGGCCCCTCCCACTTTGATTTGCATGTAAATGGAACCACACTCGCATCCACTCACTTAATCAAAAGCAATAATTTCCTTTTGAGCGCGAACGAAATGTTTTAATTGAAAGTGCTGCTGATGATGATGCCACTGTTTTTCAGATATGAACGGCCGACTATCTGTATCCGAACGAATGCGTGTTTGTGCTCGAATCTAAATTGAAACTGTGTTAAAAATTAGTTTAAATTGCTGCAAAGCTGGCGCCAGCATATCTACATACATATATTCAAGAAACCAAGATATATATTTCTGATTCCGGTCCCTTCTTCGTCATTTCTGAACTGGCTGTTTTATTAACTCGAAGCTCGGAGTGAATTATGGCTTGGGGATGGGGTGTCAGTGCATGATAAATGTGTTAGATTTCCAATGAAATTTTATGGCCTGCTCGTATATGTCGCCGCCTTAAGCTTAACTGATTGTCTTTTTTGCAAAAAGGAAATTCTTCTTCGACTCCACGGCTGCGTGATGTTGTGCATCCAAAATGAATTTTTGAATTGTGCGGCATTTGAAGTGTTTTGCATACAAATGGCCACCGTTGATTTTCCTTTTAAATACGCGCGCTGTGGCCATACAAAAGCTATTAAACAATCATTTTGGTTGCACTCACGTTAATCAAACGGGGTGGTCGGATGTGTCCACTCCTTTTGATGGCAATCATCTCTGCGAATGCCGGAGAACTTGGCGACAAATCAGCTGTGACACTTGACATGCGGCAGCGAATCGGAGACAGCTATTCAGTGGATTTCTTTATTTATAGATGCCAGCCCATGCCATGGCTCCTATAGGAACTGAAAAAAATACTTAACACATAGAGAAAATCTTTAAAGTATCTGAATCGGAAATATTAACTATAAGGATGTCTTTTAGAATAACTCATAAGATTTACCTTTGATGCTTAATATTATTCTTAAACGTGCAATCTAGTTTACTCTATTTTTTAGCGTTCTACAAACTTTTCAAATTATTTTCTGTGTGGTGCGTTGACAGGCAGCTTAGATCATTGGCCACAGTAAAAAAAGAAGCATCGGCAGCAGCAGCAGAAGAGTGCGCAACTTTGCAACTAAAACTGAAACTAAGATACGAGTATATAGTATAATAAAAATAGCACTCAACGACACACTATACCCAGAGTAGCGAGCACAAATGAAAACATTAACAGTTTTAAAAATAAAAATGCCAAATAAAAACTGAATCTGAATCAGAGAATATAAAAATGGGGGTAAATGACAACGCCTGGCAAATCAAAAAGGCATTTTCCAAGCGATTTGTCACCGTTTCGCATTTACCCATTTGATTCCCCAAATCAATGTTCATAGGCCGCGGCCAAATTTATTTTGGTGGACTTCAAAGTAAATTTCCGCTAAAATTAGTCACTCAACCCGACAAAAATTTAAAAAAAAAAAAAAGAAGAAAACTCAACTGTCCGGACTTGCTTGGCCCGAAAACGAAAATGGCTGAGCCAAAAATACGTAAGTTTCGGAACAAGAAATGGAGGGAAAATCTTAGCAGTTTTCACTCCACCCCACCCAAAGTTGCTTGCCCTCCTTTGGCAATTGCACACTTAATTAATGGGCACTGCTTTTGATCTTCTCTGAAGTTCAGTAGCCCCCCCAATTCCTGCCGCAAGTGACAAAAACTGAAATTTTTCACGCACTCAGCAAAACTCTTTGAACCCGCCCTTTTACGCCCGGCCAACTGTCACACGTCCAAGTCTCCGGATTCGGGAGTTTCGACTCCGGAGATCGGGGACATGTGTCGCAGATGTCAGACATGGGAATCGCTTCTAGCTAGTGATGCGTAAGTGTGACGTGATCACAGGAAAAGTATCTACTATAAAGGGATTGTTGTCAGTGATCTCTGAAAATTATATTTAAGCATTCGTGTCACGACTTTCAGATCTCTTCGAACCAACTCATTCATATTCATCTGGTTGGGATAAGCAGCCTATCTGGTTGTACAATCTTCAAGGCAATCAGAATGATGTCAATTATGGGTAGGTGAGACAAGTCGTTACGATTGACAGCAAATGTAACTTAAAGATCTTTTAAAAAGTTAATATCAGAGTTGTGGTTGAGTTTAACAACTTTTTATAAACGAACAGTAAGCTTGTTTTGGAAATTAAAAGCTATCTTAAATGAAATTTTTTCCCTTGAAAGCTATTTTATCATTACCCATCATATCATCCCGTCATCTCTAATTCCAAAGCCCCACATTCACCATGCTCCCCCATTTCTTTTCGCAAGAAAAGTTCAACACCCAATGAGCAATCTTCCAAATGAACCGCAGCCAGAGAAAAAACATTTGGGGGAGTAGCCAAGGAAAAACCAGCGGTAAGTGCTTAATAAGTAATCAGTCACCCGGGGTACTAGTAGATAAGCAGGATACCATTCCATTACCAGCCACCTAATTAGTGCGAAAAGTGAAACCCCCGCCTTAAGTCACTGGGTGATTTGTGCCAGAGGAAGTGTACTTTGGCAACAGATTCGCAGACCAACATGTGGCAATCACGATCATGATCATGATCATGACCACAATCAGGAATCTGACTGCAATCCGCTCCTTTAACGATCCACTGGCAGATATCTTGCTGTTTCCCATGGCATTTATTTAAATTTTAATTTACTGAGTGGTGTCAAAATGCGTGAGCCAAGCCATTAAACCCTGATATGCTGCACTTTGCCAACTTAACTTCTTGTTTTTTTCCTCTTGCAACATGCTTATTTTCTGTTTGTTTGTTTGCCTCTCTTGCAGATATCTTCACATGTTGCAATCAGGTCTTCGGCTCATGTCGCACAGCATGCGAAAATGTAAGTATTTGGGGTGTCGGTGGGGGGGAAAAAAAGGGGCTTACTGGGTTGGATTGATCATATATCAAAAATGCGTATGAATGGCTGAGTGGATGCAACGCATGGTACAGCCAAGGGTAAATGTTTGAGTGCGTTTGAGTTTAGTTTTAAGCTTGTTTTTGGGTTATCATTCATAATACTAGACAATAATTTCAAAGTACAAAGTGTAACTTCCTGATAAATCTAATATACCCCAATTTTGTAGTCAATTTACTTTCCTCCTGTGTATAATTTTGTAACTCATAACTATTTTATTCAAATGCGGTGTGGCAGGCGCCTCGTCTACAGTCAAAACCAACTCGAAGGGAAATGGTGTGTCTGTCATAAATATTAAATGCCAGCTAGAGGCAACTAGCAACCAGCAACTAGCCATAAGTATGAACACCTCGGACAGCAGATCAGATACAGATTGAACATGCCGATAAGGTGGAAAAACTACCGATCAAGCCACAGTGCATTTCCTGGTATTTTTATGTGCCCATGAATCCTCTTTCCGTCCATATGAATGGTGTGCGAGTTCTGCATACTAAGCAATATAAATTTAGAATTCAATAAACGTTGATCCGTCGTACTGTCACATGGTGAAAAACCATTGAAAATTATTATGACAGGTTTTAATGGTCGTTCGATTTCGGTAGAACTTTGAATGCCATATCCACATCCGCTGGCTGCCGATTGTTGATTATAGTAGAGCCTTGTGCCAAAAAGGATTGAAAAATCCGCACAAATTGCATTCTTAATTAGCATAAACTGGCAAACAGGTAATTGCAACTCAAAGACCAAACCCAGACGAAAAATCCAGACTAGTACAGAGAAAAGAAAATTTAAAGACTAAATTATAAGAACAAAATGTATCAGCACTATTAAGATCTGGTTGATACTCTAAATGTAAGGTTTCAATGTAGTGAGATGTCATAAAATCTTAAAACTATATAGCTAATATCAATTATATCATGTAAATATGCCATTTGGATAAGCTATTGAAGAGATACTTTATAGTTTTTTTTCTGTGCCAATTGAGAGAGCCAGACCAACCAGTTTTCCACTCAAAGTCATTCATAAAACCCAAGCTGGCTGAAAATCAATTTGTTGTCTTTGAGAGTGAGTGTCGTATGTGTGTATGAGTGTAGTTGACGGTAGTCTGCTCCTAGCCTCGATTTAGTTAGAGGCAATGCCGGCAATCAAATCACTGACATCATTTAACTTTGTAATCATAACCATTTTCCACCCAAAACCAATTAGTTTTCCCAGCTGAAAGTGGGCTGGGGCTTTGCCAATCTTTTCATTTAGAAATGCAAATGAAGGCATTAAATCTTTTGGCCAAATTGAAACTGACAAACAGGATAATGGATAACCGGTTCAGTTCTCATGGGCGTTACCCCAAAGTCCACTTTTGAATTGCTTTTTACTCTGTCTCAAGCGAAAGATTAGAGAGCTAGATCTTACAAGTGGGTGTCGGGAAATAGGAGACCCCTTGATATTCGACTCTCCCCACTCACAATTTGTTCTGTTTCTTTGGCCTCTTGAATGTGTGAAAAGTCGAACCCGAGAGGAGAGTTAGAGATCATCCCGAGATAAGTGAAAATTTACGCGCACTTTATTATTGACAAAATGCTCTTTTGTGGCCCGAGGTTCTGATAATTGCAAGACATACAATTCTTTGGCACTCTCAGTATCTGATGGGATTTTCTGCCCAGGTGGGTAGGTTGTCCTCGAAGAGGAGGTTCCGGTGGGATCCCATGTATGTAGTTAAGCAAAGTGTGTGGGAGTGCGTGACATGGCCACGGACACTTCATTAACAAAACTGCAACAGACATGCTCGAGGCCCGGTGTTCAAAGAGGGGAAACAACCCGAGGAACACACATGAAAGAAGCGCGTATCAGCCAGGGGCGTAGTCGATGAAAGGTACCATACAATTTGAAACAAACATGTGATTAAGTGGATAAGTGGCTGTAATTAGGGCATGCAAAGTGTCCTATCAACAAACTTAAAATGCACGCATTAGGAAAAGTGGTTGATTTTATAGAATTTTAACATGGGTAGATAGAACAAGTACTTGGCAGAAATTTCTAAAAATAAATAAAACTTATTTGGAATATTTATTTTATAAATATAAGTAATTTTCTTGAATAAACACCTTAAATTATGTTAATATATATGATCTCAATCTAAGATATTCCGCCGAGAGTAAACCCCCTTTAAACCCACACCATCTACACCTCAGTTTATGTTAATTTGTATTTATGAGAATGCCACCAGGCTCAAGATCCAGACAAGTTCCGAGGACAAGCACACGAAGTATCTTGAATAGACATCGCTTTACTCAGATTACTGTGGCAGATACGTGCATCTCACACAGTGGAATGAGCCTGAAAATTTGTTATTGAAGTTCCCTGAGCCTGTTCTTTATCGATAGAAAGAGGGGGTAGTAAATGTTATTTATGACGGTGTCAGAAAGAGAACCGCATTCAAAAATGTAACATAATACACCAAAAAGAACAACAACAAGAGCAGGATAAAATTGCAACCTGCATCTCCATGGTCTCTGAACTTTGTCTCGACCCTGATCATAACCTCTTGCACTCACTAGTTCTTAAAAACGTTTAAAGAATATACCCTTAGTATTTTATTAAAAACTCTTTTTTCAAAAACCCCCTACAAATAAGCAACCATTTTATTTATTTTTTATATTGATTTAAGTGTTAAAGCTGTAAGACTGCTCACAGATCACAAGAAAACCAACAGGTTGCAGGTCAGGAGCAGGTTAAGCGTTCGACCGTCGATTAATTTTGATTGCGATTAATAACTTGTTGTTTATGGCAATTTATGCATATTTTTCCAGTTATCTCTGGTAGAGTTTGCCACTAGCGCTGGCGGCGATAATCGCGAGGAACTGCGCAAATATTGTCAACTGCATCAAGTGGAATTCTGGACCTGTGTCAACCAGACTTTCGATGGTATGTCTAAGCGGAAATGAAATTCATAAAATTCGAACAATATTTTTTTATTCTTATTATCAGCGGTCACCCGTGGAGCGGACTGGTCGGGAAGACGTTGCTGCCAATTTGGTGTCCTGCCTCATTGCCGCAATGTATGCGCCACTTCGAATCGCTCACCTGTGCAAAATTGCCGTCGAAGCGATGAGCAAACGCTTTATGATTGCCTGGAGCGCCAGGAGGCAGCGGATCAGTGCTGTGGACAGGCCAGAACATCTGAGTGCCTGGAGGTGAGTTAACCTAATGGAAATTCTAAGCTCTATATATTCCAAAATATATAATATTTATTTTCATAGGCCTGTCGAGCTGTATTTGAGCCCGTGAATGACAACCATGACCATGTGGATATTAATAGCGCCTGTGGAGATCGCAACGCAGATGTGATTCAGTGCATAAACAACCACACCGATATGACTCCACTGGCCAATGCCGAGCAATGTAAGTGGATAAAATTAAATCTGAGGTTTCATGATGATTTATTTGCCAAAAAATCCCACAGATATTCCATGTTGTGAGTACAGCAACAAGGAGCATTGTCGCCACACCTGCCGGAATCTTCTGCGTCAAAATGCCACCCTAATGGAGCGGAGTGAAGTGATCTTCTCTCGGTTGGAGGCAGCAGGCTGTGGTTCTCCATTGCCACAAGTCCCATTCTGGCAGTGCTTTCTCACGGTAACCGGAAAACTATACGTTCCAGGAGGAGGATCGGCAAGACCTGGAGGATCACTAGCCCAAGGGCGCATATCTGGGAAAGGAGGATCTTTGGGGGAACCCAATCATCTGGGTATGGATGCGGCTAAAAGACAATGCTGCGATCAAGCAGGCAGCCACAAGTGTCGACGACTGTGCAACCAGATCTTCACCAGCAATTGGTGGGATGCACGATCGAGTTTTGAAAGCGAGTGTATGGACCAACCTGGAGAAAGGGAACTACGACGATGCATAGAAAGTGTAGATGCACCCTGCGAACTAGGTTGCCAGGGTCTTAGTTTTTGCTCTAACTTTAACAATCGACCCACGGAACTCTTTCGCAGTTGTACGCCAGAACATGATGCAGCTGCCCGCGAAGATTTGCGGCTCCTGCAACAACGGGGAACCGTCCGAGTCCTGGGACAGGAACTCTTCATCAAAAATACCAGTCGGTGTGCTCCAGAAAAGTGGCAGGCTTTAGTGTGCGCCCTCCAACTGAAACCCTGTACGCGAGTAGGTCTTTTCAATGGCATCTGTAGTGAGGATTGTCATGAACTTTTGGATGAGTGTCTGGATTGGACGCTCCAACACCAGCGGCCAAAGGATATATGTTCAAGACTAAAAGAAAAAGATGATGATGCTCCACTACCATGTATTTCCCTAGAGAGCTATCTGAAACCAGGAGATGCCAGTCCAGAAGAGGCCCAAGGTATCACCTCGCCCTGTGCCAAGAAGCCTTGCAATGGCACTGAAGTGTGCATCCTACAGCGGGGAGGAAATCAAGGATACTCCTGCATACCGGGTTGCAATTTGGGACAGGATTCTAAGCTATTTGTTCCCTTCGGTTCGTATGTGCGACTTGGAAAGAGTAATCTCCACAAGAAAATCGAAGTGGGTCAGCTTCCCCTAGCAGAACATATAGTCTGCTCGTGTGGATTAGAGGGTCGCCTAGAGCAGTGTCAACCTCTGCCGAGCTATATGCATGCCCATTGCATTCTTCCTGGAGCCCGGAGTTACAGGCATGGATCATCATTTTACTTGGAGTGTAACCTTTGCAGTTGCTTTGCCGGTGAGATAACTTGCACCAAACAGCAGTGTCGCTTGCCAGGATTTGCGGATTCGGGATACACTAGTCTCCCATGCAATTGCCCAGCTCATTATGTTCCCGTTTGTGGCTCCAATGGTAATACTTATCCCTCAGCTTGTGTGGCAAAATGTCATTTGCCAGAGGGAGATTATGTGTACGGTGCATGCAATGCCAGGAATGCCTGTCAAGCAGCACCTCCGAAAAGTTGTCCTATAGGAACTCAGTGTCTGGACCAAAGGAAGGTGTGCCTGGCCAGTATGCAGAGGCCATGTCTGCAATATGTGTGTGGTAAGTTACAGGGAATTAATCAGAAGTATTAAAAGTTAATCAATATCCTAAAAACTTATATTTTTTTCTTTGCAGTTAACGCCACGGCTTCGAATTGTTCGTCCTTCCATCAGGGTGAGGTATGTGATACTCAAGGACGCACTCATCCCAATGCCTGCGCTCTGCTAAGAACCAATCCACAAGGCCAAGTAGCGTACTGGTCTGCCTGCCAGTCAAGTCGGCTTGCTGCACCATCACCAGTTTGTGGAATCAACGGAGTGACCTACAAGAGTAGTTATGCAGCTAGAGCAGAATACGTGATGGTGGATTATGTTGGTCGATGTCGGGAAGTGGGTTTACTAGCCAGCGATATGGGAAGACGTTGCCGTACTGTGCAGTGCCCAGCTCCCGTATCCAAGCACTGTCGTTTGATAGTGCCACCAGGAGCCTGTTGCCCATTGTGTGCTGGAGGCGCATTCAGAATAATTTACTCCAGAAAGCAGTTCGACCGCGCAATGTATGGACTGAGGTCACAGAGCAGCACCCTTTTGACTCTGCATGGGGTTCTACAACAGCTAGAATCCAGTCTGGTGCAGGTCAGCGAATGCCAGCTGACCGGGTTCCTCACCATGGAAGTTGGCATCTTTGTGGCTTTGGTGCCCTCCAGTACTATCAAGAGACCATCGCGCCTTCAATTGGAGGCATGTACCCGGGAAGCCGAAAAAATATCCTCCCTAATTAATGCCCAGTCACCCAGGATCACAACGAATCTAGCTTTATCCTGTTTGACGGTATCGCACCTACTAGAACCCATGCCAAATGGAGCAATATCTTATGGTTCCCAAACCATTTGGATACTCCCCCTACTTCTGTTAGCTGTTAGATTAATCATATTTTAAGTTAGTCCTAGAAGGAGTGTGTATGATCTGACTCAATCAAGTGAATTCTTGGTGCCAATTAATCTGTTAGTCTAAGAAGATGGAAAGTGCCTTCAACTGTTAGGAATTGACCCTCTATACCATGTGATATTAGCTAAATTAATCGTTAAGCTTTAAGTGGCAGATCCCAAACGAGAAATGTCCTCTTATAATTATTTTTTTAGCTTATGCCAGGGACTTAATTTAAATGTATGTTTTAATTTCATCCACAAAACGTGTTCTATAAGCTTTATAAATTATTATAAAACTCAAATATTAAATTAAAGATAAAGCACAAAAAGAGATTATTTGGACTTAAACTTTATAATTTGTCGTTACCATTTGATTGAATTCCTTAATTTGTTAGATAGCCAACCAAATCTTGTAATATAATTTATTCGGTCCCTGGCTAGTGTTCGTTAATGACCAAAGCATCGTCCGTCTTGGAGTATCGCTAGTCTAATAAAATGCCCTGAATAAAACACAAACTTGAGTTGAAGCATGGCTTCCTTTATTGAACCACTCCAAGTAGATCCAGCCAAAGCTCTATTATATTAAATGTACGAAAAGTAGAAAAGGAAATCGCTTTAAGAAGTCTCCATGGGCACGACCTGGACACGCTCGGTAACAAGCAGATCCTTAATATTGGTGTGCAGGACGGATGTGGTTCCGTTCTTGAAACGGTAGTCCAACTTGCGCTCTCCCTTCTTGTTAGCCAACTCATAGTTGCGCAGATATTCCACGCTGCCCTTGCGGATCACACACAGATCGATGTTAGATCCCGAACCCAGATCATTGAACACTCCAGAGGCGATGGCATCGCGGACCAACAACTTGCCCTCTTCCTCAGTCATGTCGGGTTTCCAGCGACTTTCGAACACGGTCATAGCGGCTAAGGAACCCGATCCCATGGTAGCATACGGCAGTTTATCCGAGCTGCCATGTGGGTGAATAGAGTAGATGTGAGGTCCGGTCTTATCCACTCCGCCGAGCACCAAGGCGGCACTGATGTGACCCTGGTAGCGGAAGAGCATTTGCTTCAGCATAACATTAGCGGCCACCACCTGTACTTCGCGCTCTGTTTGCAAGCGATGCAGCTCCAGCTGGGACGAGATTAGATCCGTTGTCATCTCTGTATCCGCAGCAGTTCCAGCTCCGCAGCAACTAAAAGAAGAACATTTTTAATGATAATCTTGTTAATATAACTACAGATCTATTTAACAATAATTTGGAATTTCAGTCATTAAGGTAAGAAAATGTATCTGTGTATAAGGTGAAAGATCCCTTTTGTAGAAAGGCATATTAGAACACTTTTATTGTGGAATGAGATCTTTCACCTATTTGGAAATAGTCTGTGGACTCACTATATATTCTTGGCCAAGTAATGAATCTTGGCGCAGTTCTTGTCTGAGACGATGGGTCCTTCGGTGGCTCGCGTATCGGCTCCCAGGATAACGCCATCCTTGAAGATAATGCCAACAATTGTGGTTCCCGTTTTGGTGGTGGTTGGTGGCTTGTAGCCTCCCTTCATAAGATTTGCATTGCTAAAAGCATATAATGACTTGTTAATAAAAGCCGCTTCAGAATTTTAGGAGAACCCGCATGATTCTCACCGCTTGCAGTTGTCGAAATTGAAACCAGCACGGGGCAGATCGCGAGCATTATCCAAATCCATTGTCTGTGCTTATTGTTTCAATTATATTCACAAGCACAACTTAAGTTTTATTTTTGCTGAGCGGAATGACAAACAAATTTGTTCAAGGCGTGATAGAGCTGAAAGAAACATCGATAGTATCGACTTCTTAACACAACAACCATCGATGATTCACTACTATCACGATAGTATACGATACAAAGTACTAAATAATTGTATCATTTGTTTTCATTGTTAACTAATAATATACATATATTTTGATCTATAGGTTTTGATTTTTGATCCTTTTTAATGCAACAGGTGTATCTGGAAGTCCCTAAAATTTCGATTGGTTGAAGTTAAACTGAAGAATATCGATTGTAAATATATTTGACACATCCCTATTATAGTGTCTTCGTTATTGTGAATCGCATCCCTGGAAAGTATTTTGGTAAATTACCATGTCTGCGGCCACAAAATTACATAAAACAAGCTGGTGCGCCCTTCGGCAACTGCAACAATATAGAACTAAGGGTAAGTAAGACAAATTATGATCCCTTTTATTGACCAAATATCGAAAAAGCCGTTTACATAATGCCGGTCGGTGCTCACGTTTAGCAGAGCTCCCGTGTCAGTGATGGTATGTTCGGCGGTGTCACAGCGGAAAAATAGCTATAAATTACATTTTCTTTTAATTTATTGAAAGAAATGCTTTTATACTTGACACATTTTTTTTTCTTACAGCCAGCTTCAGTGCCAGTTCAGCGTCGATATCCAAGCGAAACGAACTTTTTAACCAGGAGCAGCGCCGTCAACGGGATGCAGTGGGTCGCATTGACAAGATCGAGGTCCGGTATCTGGGACTCCCAGAAGATGTCACACTGGTTATGAACAGCAACATCTCCACGCCATACAATTGTGCCCAGCACCTGAGTGAGGGACACTGCAAGCGTTCGGCACTGGCTCTAATCGATGGCAGTGTGCCCTGGGATATGCACAGACCCCTGCAGGACTCCTGCACCCTACAACTGCTTAACTTCCATGTCTCCGAGCCGCACGTAGTGAACAAGTGGGTATGCAACAAAAACTTATAGATTTTATTCTAATAAGATTCCGTTCTTACAGAGCTTTCTGGCGCACTTGTAGCTTTATGTTGGGAGCCGCTTTAAACCGGGCATTTAAACCGGAGGCGAATCTACAGCTTCATAGTTTCCCAGGACCCAACAGTAAGCAAAATATCTATCAATCTAGTTAATAAACTATTGTGAATATAAAAGTGTATTGCGTCATGCAACAGTTATTAATTAATTAACATTTAAGTAATGAATGTTTTCCCAATTGCATACCCTATTAAAATACTTGTATATTTTACAGTCAAATCGGGCAGCTTTGTACACGACATTGTGCTGCAGACCAAAGATTGGCAGCCTTCGAAGGAAGAGATGCGCGCCATTTCGGCGGAGATGGTAAAGTTAGCCGCTCAGGATCTGCGCATTGAGCGCCTTGACATCCAGCAAGATCTAGCCCAGGAGATGTTTAAGGATTCAAAGTACAAGAGCGAGCAGCTGCCCAGCATTGCGCAGCAAAGCCATGGAAAAGTGACCCTTTATCGCTTGGGTGATCACATTGACATCTCACGAGGTCCAATGGTCGGCTCTACCAGCTTCCTAGGTAAATGTACCATTTCGACTGCTCAAAAAGTTGCAGAAGAGGGTCCATCAGGTGCCTTTTATCGCATTCAAGGCGTAGCACTGCCTGCTGGCTTCCAGCTGAACCATGTGGCGTACGGTGTACTGGAGGAAAGATCCAAAAAACCTGTAAGTGTTCCATTTTTTTAGAATCAGAAATCTCTGACAACATTTTATTATATTTTAGAGCCCCGCTCGCCTGCCCAATGAACCCTTTGAGGAACAACAACAACTGCAATTATCTTAAAACGTTCTTTAATATTTAAAGCTATACAATAAGTGTTAAAAGGTAAATCATTAAAGAGCGCCCCAGTTTGTTACAAAAGCATAACCGTCTTTAAAAAGTACATACTAACAACTCTATTACTTAATATTTAAACTAATTATGGAATGAAATTCTGAAAAGCTTACACAAATTAAAATAAATTCAGTGCTCAAAAGAGCTAAATTTTACATACGGAACACTTGTGGCCACTTTTAAGGAATGATTTGAAGATTATAAATCCTTTTAATTTTCAGTATATCCTATTTGAACAGGAAACAGTTTTATTTTAATTGGTTCTTTAAAACACTTTTAATCTATTTTACAAAATTTGAGAGATTTCTATAAAACTAAGAAACATTTGGTAGCGATTTCATCTTTAACATTTAAGGCATGCTTGAAGAAGGCAGAGAATCGGAGATTTCAAAGAAACATAGGCTTAAAATACTATCTACAAAAAGAAAAGAAATAATTCTGTTTTGAGAGTTGCTTTTAAAAGCGCTTAAACAGACCTTCCAAATCGTGCTCATTCAAAGCTATAACTAACATTATCAGTCCACCCAAAAGAATACCGAAAATTTGTATAATTATACCTTTCGGATCTTTCGCCATCTCCGGATTGTGGGCCACGCTCATTGTGGGCACTAGATCGGCAAAGGCAATATAAAGGAATGAACCTGCAGTGGCTGCATAAATCCATTGGGTCATACCATCTCCGATTCCGGCAATGAAAAGACCCAGGGACATGCCTACAAAGCTAAGAACTGAACTCACAATATTCATGTAAACAGCTCTTCGCATGGAGACACCTGTTTGGAGGAGCAGGGCAAAATCTCCAAGCTCGTGGGGCAACTCGTGGCAGAGGACTGCAAATGCGGTGGCAAAACCTGTGACCGGATCACTGGCAAAGGCAGCCCCAATGGCCAGGCCATCGGTGAGATTGTGCAACCCATCTCCGATGATTACCATGAAGGCCACTGGAGTGAGTGGCCGATCAGGAGTTTTCTCATCCAATTTGGACTCCTGCAGCATCACGTTAAGTTCTCGAGGTGCTGGCAATTCGGCACCATCATGTGGAGCTGGCTTCTCCATATGATTATGACTGTGACTGTGACCATGTCCGTGGCTATGTCCATGTCCTGGTTTACCTCCTTTAAGCAAGGGAATCAGATTCTCCAGCATGTACATAAAAAGAGCAGCCAGGAAGGAGCAGCCACAAAGCAGAGCAGCCTCATTGCTATGTTTGTGGTCTGATTCCAATGGATTAATACCAGTCACCTCCTCCTCATGTTTCTCCTCCTTAAAAAGAGCATGCGGGAGCAAGTGCATAAGGGCATCGCCGGCTAATGTGCCCACAGCAATGGACACCAGGAACTTGAGGATTTCTTGATACGCAGCGGTTTTCATCAAAGGAACCAAAAGAATTCCAAGCAATCCGCAAGCAGAGAGAATTAGCATGGTGATGCTGGCATATATCCAAGCTGAAGTAATAAAGGTAAGTTATCTTGTTAAAAGAAATATATCATTTAAGACACTCACCGTACCAAATCTTTTGGTTCTTATCGTTTAGGTTTTCTGATCGAGGAGCTGGTTGCTTGCAAACTCCATTATCGATTTGAGCCAAAAGGGCTGGACACAGTTTCATAAAAGCTCGTGGGGTAATTCGTACGGAGTTAATGAACTCGTTGTACTCCTCCTCTGAATTGTGATTAGCATCAGTTGAACTGTCTCCATTCTTCTTCAGCAATTTTTGGTAGGCGCTGTTTTTGTGAAGATCATTGTGGTCCACGAGAAGGGATAATAAAGACTTTGGCGATAAGCAAGCAGCAACTGGCTCTGAAAATCCGTAAAAGTATATATATAATAATTGCTATTAGCAATTATTGCTTAACTTAAAGGTAGGTGTAACGGCTTTCACAAGTAGGCTTTTTAAAATTGTTAATCAATTGTTAAAATTAACAATTAAACAAAATTAACTTTATTTTAGGGCTTCCATAACATTCTGATCACCATATTATCATCACTGATCACTATATTATATATATTTATCAAGAGAGTTATTAGGTATTTCCTCTTTCCCTTAGAAGTTTTGTTTGCTTCTCAGGCGTTGTTAGCAGTTTTCTATGAAAATACCAGTTACATTTTTCTGATCCCGACACATTGCTTTCTCATGAGTTGATTGTTATCCAATTCGCATGTGCGAACTTGCCATTAATTCAGAGTCGGCTGTTTAGTGTTAACTTTATATGGGACAACGGTGTAATGATTGTGTGCACTTCAATTAACTGTAAAGCTCAGCCGACAGAAATAACAAACGAAATTATTGAGGCCTGTTTGTTTCTCATTCTGTATCTGTATCTGTTTCAATTGTTGTTTTGTTTTGGATTTCCGCATCCATAATGCGTTCGTTTATCGTGTTATCGCCCTGTTTTCGTCGCCTTCTGACAATGATCTTTCCTACCTACTGATTTACGGCAACATTTACGGCCCAAAAGGAGAAAAATATATACATCTGCGATAACTTATAATTTATGCGACAAGGCCGCGATCACAGACGGAACTTCCTATCAACCAAATGAGATGGGAGGATGGGTTGGCATAATTGAATTGATGATAGACCGCAGTCGCCGGTTGTCGGTCGCCTTGCACTTGGAAATCGGCCAATTGATGGAAAGAGTCGAGGCCCGGCTTCATCTATTTATCTATTTATACTTCCATTCTGATGCGACGACTTTTTCCCTGACTCAATTTGTATTGTGTCACAGGTAGTGGTTGCTTTATCACATTTGCTTGTAGATAATTGCTAGTTAAGTCAGCTTTAATCCAACGTATTTCCAAGAAATTTCTCGGCTCTTGTGGATTCTTGAGACGTTGACTTAATGTGAGAAAATCTAGCCTACTGTTTATGGCTTTGTTGTCTAAGTAAGTGCACCTCAACTATTATCAGTCATCTCTGATGGTTGGCAAACACTTCGCATATCAGTGGAGTGCTAAATCCACGACCATATAGATATACCTAGAGCATTTTTAAATTAAATATCGTATAGCACTCACCTGAGCTCTCTCGTGGATGCCTGTGCTTGGGGTCATGAATTTCTAGGAATTCCGGAACCTCAGGGCCAAGATTACTGGGTGTTGAAATTTGCACCTCCAAAGCTTCCTCATCGGTGGTATTAACTCGTGTTGGCTCAAAGTAATATGTGATATTTGAGCTGTTTGTTGTCTCGTTGGAGTATCCTTGAGGTCGATGCTGATCAATCGTATGTGAGGGTTCGAATTGGATTTGACCCAAGTTTAAGCTAAACATCAAATGCTCAAGACCCTGGAAAATGTAGTTTATACATAGTATTAAATCTGTGATAAAATGTAGTTTAAATAATGTTTAGTCTTATTATTATGAAGAGCAAGAGGAAGTTTTTAAAAAGCAAGCGTAAAATAATTATCTAGATTTATTCATTTCTAGGAAATCATAAAATGACTGCATGATATGTGGCGTTAGCTCTAGTTAATAACCAGCAGACTGTCTAAAGATAAGAAAATTTGTTATGTTTGAATTCGTATAAACAAACTATTTTCTTTTATAGATAAGAAAATATTTGATAATAGGTATTTAAAGATTTAAATGTACAAATGATTATAATGTGAATATAAGAGCCTTTGATGAGATAAAATGGCATTTGCAGGGTGATATTAAATTGACTTTAAATAATCTTCGTACAAAGTCCGTAAGAGGTTGGTGATTCAGAAACGTTTTAGGAAAACGTGATTTTCCTCTAAACTATTTATATTTTTAAGCTGTATTGGTAACCTTGAACTACTAAGCCCATATGGTAAAAGCAATTCATCTCGGAAATGCCGGAGACATAGCAACAAAACAACTGCCAGCTGTTTCAATTTAATGACCGTCCCAAAATCTCCATTAAAAGCCAACCCCAACCTGTTGCCCATTTTCCACAATAATGGTTTACAAATTTTCCCGCCCTCGATTCGCACTTGCTGTTTTGTACGCTAATTTATCAAAGTATTTACTTTGGCTCAGATCTATCACAGATAATTACTTGATTTACTTGTCAACGTGCCAGGCAATTATATTTACATTTGAATTCATTTCTTTATTGTTATTCCTGTTGTCTGGTGCATTTTTGCTGTCGTAAAAGTGGGAAGAGACCTCTCTCAGGGGGGGAGTAGAAAACCCATCTAATTGTCTTGACAGTCACCTGTCGCCGGGGATTGGGGCGTGTGTCAGTTGAATGATGAGTGGCTCCAAAGAATTCCTTAACCAAGATCAGGATTCCAGAATTAGCTTATCAACAAACATTAAGCAAACACACGCGCTGGCATACAAGCAGAAAAAAAAACAAACAAAAAAACTATTTATTATGGAGCTCGTGAAACCACCAAATGCCAATTTTACTTTCATTCAGCGAAAATTTGATTGTATGCCAAGTATACTATGTAATCGAAATTGGAATATTAGAATGATAATAGAATTTGAGGTGGGTGGGCCCCCGGGGGGTTGGTACCTTTGATGTTAGTATGCCGAGTGCGTAAAAAGTAAAAACATTTTAGTAACGTGCCATTTAAATGGACACATCGTATTGCGTAGTCTATACGCATGAGTAATGTCAATTGGCTCGGATTGTATGGAATCGCACTGGCTACTGTCTGTCCATAACTTTGGAGTCCATAAGCATAACGATCGCGTTGCGAAAGTTATAGATGGGATGACAGAGGGGGTTTGCATTATATTTCGTCAGCTGTGCCGGCCTGGCATCTTCATTAGGCGAAACAAAATGTCTTATCTGGCAAGCTAATCTCGTAATCTCAGTCTTTTGGATAAAGGAGGATGTTGTGGCAAGATGCAGGGGACATAAGACGACAAACGTGTTGATGCTGTTCAAGACTCGAACTAAATATCACACTGTGTGTTGTTCGTTTGTCTGGATTTTGATTAAATTTATGATAATGCCCGCAATAAAGTCTACGTTTTGTATCAAACGAGACGACGAGTGCTCCTCCTCGTGGCCCCCTGAGCTATAAAAGTACGCCGCGTATATAAAGATTACAACCTTTTAAGAGTGACGCGTTTATAACTTTTGAAAGTGTTTTGCTTGTCAGTTGTTTGTCAACTTGGCCAGAACAGTATTGTTTCACTTTCACAATAACCAAATATTTGATGAACTCTAATTTATATATATAATCGCCGTCTCTTAGCTTTTAAATGCCTTTTGTTTTTGTTGTTAGCTGCCCTAAAAAAAATGAAGTACCAAAAAAAAAGAAGATACAAACTCACTAATTTTTTGCCATAACATTAACCGCAAAAGCTTTGTCCGAGTCCGAATTTGTTTACCTATGTTTACCTGCGCTCAAATTACTTTGGTGTGTGTTTACAAGGCTAGTTCGATGGTTTATTGGTTATTACCTCAAAGTTGATTGTCCCGCCATTGCCGTATTTTTGGAATATCTGGGCCAGGTAGCGATTATATTCTGTGGAAGTCCGAACGGTTTCGAAAAAAAGCGAACCCAGGCACAGGAGGGTTAAAACTAGCACCTGCTTTTTTGCCATATTAAATGGTTTGAACACTCAAGTGGTAATTTGTTTATTTTTTATTGTTTTTTATCAAACTTGCACTCTACCAGACGCTCGTCATTTCACGGTACTTCACCGGGATTTTCTCGAGTTTTGTATAGAGACGCGTGCGATCCGTAACGCTGTGGCCAACTACCGATCCCGTTCAACGGTCTTTTGAAATGACAGTTTCGCCCACGCATCGTTTTTATATGTGACTTTCGGCGAGCGGCGACAGGTTCTCCTTTCACCGACTCTCTCGCGGGTTGCTCATCACTCTGCGCACTCGCTGCAAACTTAACTGACATTCGGCGGGCTAAGCTTTGGAAAAGCTTTCGCCGGGCCATTAAAATTGAGCGCCTAAAATGGTTAAAATTGGTTGGTTGGTTACAATATAACTAAGGTTAAACCTAAAAACTTGTAAACTTATATATTATTATATTCTTTTAAACTTATAATTTAAAATTGTGCTTATTAATATTAAGAATCAATGTTATATTCAAATGTCTTTTGATTTTGATTTTTATTCTTTAGATTTACTACACTTTACAGATTATGTTGCATACCTAAAAGGCGTTTATCTAGCATTTTGCCAGAAAGAGACTCCAAGGCCATAAAAGTTAATTCATTTTAGCAATCATGAAAGAACCTCTATACCTTTTTTTAAATCTTCATTGATCTATTGCAAAATGATTTACATTTTAAAAAGTGTTCCAGCACTCCGAGAAGCAATAACTAAATTTAAGAATAGCTAAAAACCGATAAATAAAGAACTCACTTCATAAATTTAAATTGTTTATTTTTAACTTTCTTATACAAAACAAATTCGATTTTTACATTTCGCAAAAGTTGCTTCAATAATAATTATTACTTACTAAATAAGCTCCTAATTACTTGTATAATATGTAAAAATTGGTTCGCATTTTGTATAATCGACATGTTTGGCATGTCTTAACTTTCTGCAATAGACGAGGAACTCATTTTTTTTGAGGGGGTTTTGAAATATACAATAATAATAAAATTAGCAAATATTCAATAATAATAAATTGAGCAGGGACTGCCCCACCAGAATGCATTTGAGTTATTTACAATAACACTTTTGTAATGTTGTGCGTAGGTTGCCGAATTTCGCGTTGCTAACCTATCTTATTTGTAAGTTGAGACTTAGGCTAACTACAAGATATCCCCTTCGATAGTTTCGTTGATCGATACATCCACAAAAGGCACTCTCTCTCTCCAAATCTTAGATGCAATCCTAGTCAAACTTCTCTTGATTGGGCATACATAGGAAGAACTTGGAACACCAAAGATTAATGGCTTGCGAGGTGTCCGCCAGCCATTTGACCGGATTGTGAATGGTAAGATAGTAAACAGGAACACCAGACAGTATAACGATAGTTCCTATTCCCACAACAAACGGCGTTTGCGTGCACGATGAGATCACCAGGAACAGGCAGACGATCAGATAGATGACGGGCAGTGCCAAGTTGACTTTGATGGGTCGCTCTGTCTTGGGTTGCTTATACCGCATCCACAGCAATCCGGATACAGAGATCAAAGTGAACAATGCCTCCACATAACTGACATAGTTAATCAGTACGTATATGTCTTTGATGTACAGCAGCAGCAAGGTGATTAGTCCCTGGAAAATTGGAAAAAATAAATTTATTACATTTTTGTTCGTTTAATTTTAAGACAGATCAGTCAGATCAGTTCTTAATTAAGTCGTTTCTTGAATAATTTACTTATAACTCACCAGGAATATCAGCGAAGGCACAGGTGTCAGGCAATTAACGTTGATAAGCGAAATGGCAGCTGGCAGGTGGCCATTTCTGGCACCCACGAAGAAAAGTCTGGAGGACGCGAATATTGCTCCATTTAACGATCCAAATGTAGAGCAGGCCACTGCGAAAGGCATAATCCAGGACAAAAAGCCCAGCATCTTATCGCCAAAGGTGACCGCAACTGCATCTGACGATAGAATCTCATCGGTTGATAGCACCGAAAAGTATGCAATGTTTGTGATCATGTAGATAATCGTCACCACCGGCATGGAGATACAAATGGCCTTGGGAAGATTTCGGTACGGATCCTTGAGCTCTTCAGTTACGAAGTTCAGGTAATTCCATCCAGAGTATGAAAACAGGCCACTATAGAAGGCCAATGCAATAAAGCCGGCATCCTGAATACCGCCAGAGAACGGCTTTTCCCAGTGCTCTGTATTTCCATTAAACAACCACCAGACTCCGGCGCCGACGATCACCAGCAGTGCAACCACCTTAGTGCCCGTAAAGATGTCCGTCACACGTGTCACCCACTTCACATTATAGCAATTGATAAGCGTCAGCACACCTAGGGTTAAAAATCAAGCAATTAGTCAACAGATTAAACCCGCCTATCAGCGCAGATCTTACATATCATGGCAGCCGCCAGCAGCTGAACCGCTTCGATGGGCGCTTCGCAGGACGGCCAAAAAGGTTTCAGCAAATATTGAGCAAAGGTTAGTGCCGTGATCGCATTACCCGTGGGCACCAGAATCAGCAGGGCCACCCACAGATAAAGAAATGCAGGCAGCGGGCCAAATGCAGTTCCTATATAAGCGTAATCTCCTCCTGATTTGGGTATCATGGTGCCTGCAAAAAAGTAAATTGATTAGAAAATTGCTTACCATTGCAGAAATAGTTTTACAAATATTATTATCTCGGTAAGTACAATATTATTTTGACTTGGATGCTGTAAGCTAGATTCTGAACTTGCTTAAATATTTGTTTAACCCTTATTCTAAATTTATAGACCCCTTTAATCTCTGGCCTTATATTCCTTAAACATGGATGAATTGATAAGCCTGGCATAGTAGTGCCAGTGCTAAAAAGATATTTGCCTATCTAACGAGGGTTGCTTAAGCAATTAGAGCTTATTCTGGACAGTTTAAGTAGCATTTGTTAAATGTTTAATAAGTCAACAAGTTATCATATCAGTTTACCACACCTCTAGAAAAGGGGTAATGAATATGCTACTTACTTAAATGGTTTAATTTTATTAAATAAATAAATATGAATCATTTTAGTTATGTGTAGATTACATCATCAAACATACATTAAAATATGCCTTAGTTCCCCACGTCATTCTTTTCAAAATTAACTCTTTGAGGTAAACTCCTCGAAATTATGTTAATTTGTGTCTGCCAATAAATTTATGGTAATAAGTGTCTGCCAGGTTTATTATTAAAGAAAACGTGTTTTCAATGATAACGAAAAGCTGACGTAAAAAAAGAGGTAAGGCGAGCAGACTTTTTGGTTCTCTTAAAGTTGGTAGATCTTTTAGGGGTTTCTTTTCAAATTTAAAAGAGAAAAAATTCAAAGCTCTTATTTGATTGTAGATCTTGAGAAGGTAAATATATGCTTTCGTATATGTATGTTTACTCTCTGAATAAAAGGGGTTGAAATATCAATTCAACCCCAAATCTATATTCACAGAAGAAACGAAATCGTAAATACATGAGCTTGAATTGATGTATTCAAGTTTTTTAACAGACAGATAATCCAAAGCTTAATAAGAACAACCAACTACTGATTATGTTGCTCAGAGATAGTAGCGTTAATTGAATGATAATTGAATGTTTTGTTTGGCCCATTCTAGGGACACTCCTCCCCTCTCTCCAACAAATCTCATTCATCATTTTGCTGGGAAACTGAAAACTGGAACTGATTATGTTTGTGTGCCACTTGAAGAGGGCAAATTGATGGGACCGACCTCATTATGTGTCTCCCTGGTAATTGGTTGGAGTAGCTAATCTCAAAAGATTCTCACAGCGGGAGAACTAAATCTGAGGTCATAGTGATTTTCTAGTTTTTTTTTTCTTCTAGAACTGAACCGATTTTATTTGGAAATAAGCTGAATATTTCTGTTATTACTGCTTATAGTTATAGTTATAAGTCAAGTTTTAGTATTTCAAAACAAAAAACTTATCATTTTTTCCCTTTGCAATACTAGTACTAGATTTCAAGATAATCTCTAGCCCTAACCTCTTTTTTCGGTTTCCCTGACTCAAGCATTCTCGGTGAGAAGTGCTCTTGCTCCAGTTCATCAATTCTGCTGTGCTTGCCACAGGTGCTTGTCTTACACCTATGTAAACAACTCCCCCACCTTTATGGCTAACCATATGCTGACCCATGAAGTGCTGTCATCGGCTGGAAGCAATAACTGCCAGCTCCGCAGAACATTGTTTGACTGGGCGTGGGCCCATTATCAAATGGGAAAGCAACAAACCAAAAATTCCCTTGCCATGGCATATTACTCACCCAATTCCGCATAGCATAGGGCTCCCACCATGCTGAGTACTCCACTGAGTACCCAAACGATGAGGGACTGTCCGATGGAGCCGGAGTACTGAAGTACACCCTTGGGACTGACGAAGATGCCGGATCCAACGATGACACCGACAATGATGGCAACTCCATCGAGCAGACCGATCTGTTTCTTCAGCTTTACCCCGGAACCCTGACTACCGCTGTCCGCATTTGAATTATTGGGTTCCGCAGGGGGAACTTCGAACACCTGGCGGGGTATCAAAGAATCGCTAGCCTGAACTCGCGCCATTTTTTGATAAAAATGATTTTTAAAATGTGTTGATGCTATAACCCTTTGAGGTTTATATTTTTAGGGTAACTTTTCCGATTTATTATGACTGTTTTTTTATGTACACAAGTCCATTGCATTTATCGGGGTTTCCTTGTACTTTTCTCGAATTTTAATCTTTTCTTATTTTATTTTTATCAGCACACTCTTTATGCCAGCGTGGAGCTTCGAATACAGTTCACTTCGTTTGAGTCCACATGGTTTTTTCTGTTGTTTTCCGATTTCAGTTCTGTTTTGTTCGGCGCTTCACTTATTATAGTGCTCTTCAGTACACAAACACACACATTTGTCGAGGGCGCTGTATATATTCAAAACCGATAAGGTATTATATGGTAATACACGTGGTTTGTAGAGTTTTTGAATGAATCGTTATTCGAAAAAACCCAAAAGTATACGTGTCTCGCTATTTGGGGTTATTATTTTTTAAAAACGATAAAAAGTTAACTAAAAACACCGGATGGACTTATAAATGTACCGCTCGCCACACGCTCTGAGTTCAAACTAAGTTTGGAATATAATTTTACCCCCCTTTATGGGCAATGTGTCTGTCGCTCTGCCGGCGACGCTGCCGATTCAACTTGGGCTTTGCATTCCGCCTTGTTGTTTTTGTTTTCTTTTTTATTTAGGTAGTAGGTAGGCAGGCAGCTGCTGCTCTCTCGTGCTCTTTTAGACCATAAACGTCTTACCTGTTACCTGTAAAAGGCGCTCATACTTTCCACGGAAACATCCGCCAACCGTTTGGCCAAATGCATGATGCAAGACCTCTCAAACATTTCGCTAGCCAAAATAAGTTTGAGAAGTTTTGAGTGCCAAAAATAAAGCACGTGTATCGGGCGAAGAGAAACTGCCGGCATTTAATGTTTATCTCTTAAGTTGAATTCTCTTTCGTTGTCTTAGTCATTGACCTTTAGGTTGGTCATAAACGTATTGAGGACTTTTGGCCGTAATCTCTCTAGCTAGCCACTTTGTTGTCAGTTTATTCAAACACTCGCACATGGCATGCCAAAAGATATTAGCCCAGTGATTTGTAGAGATCGTTAATTGCAGCTGATTTAGCGGCAATGTGGGACAAATATTGCAAGTGAAACTCTTGCCACAAACTATTAATGTTACTAGGGGATCTATAAAAGTCACAATGTATAAAACAATTTTTATTGAAGGAACATTGCTGCTTTCAAAAACAGTGAAATCAAAACAATCTTCCTAATAAATGTCATTAAAATAGTATCGAATTAAGTTATCCTTCTATTCTTCTTTCTCCATTCCAACAATAAACTCTTTTTTTTTGTATTTTCCCTGTACTATCCTCTACAATCAATGCCTACTGTAGACTTTGCTGATTTCCGGTACAACTTAAAGTTCGAATATGCGGATGTAAGTGATAAGAAGTCACATCCGTACTTCAGCTAATCAGTGAATCAAATATCATTTAAGTTTACAGCCCTATGAGCTTATGATTTATGAGCTAACCGCAGAGATTTACGGATTTATGATTGAGGTAAAACGATCACTTAGGCAATCCATAAAGCAACCTATAATATAAGGCTTCTTTTGTTGCTCATTTGACAGCGATTACTCCAATAGATTCGGCGGTTTTTTCATGTGCTTCATTAATGTACGGCATAGTACACCGAACCGAGCGACTTTTGTTAAACACTTGAGCGGATTATCATGAAATGTAGTAGTTCCATGGGGCAGGGGGACATCGTCAGGCGCGTGCATTTGACATTTCAAACTGTGATAATTCAATTGTGAATAGTGAACCTTTAGTACCCGACTGACTATATGGATTAGCTACCTCATCTCATATCTCCCTCGCGCCCGCTATAGCCATAAAAAAAAAGAAAAAATAAAACTACAAATAACAAACAAAACAAGTGTAGCGCCTCTATACAGTTTAGTAGCTCAGCCCGCGGGAACGTATCATTTTGGATCCGTGGAGCTCCTCCGGTAATCTAATTGTAAAAGACACACACAGGGCGCTGGTGTACTGCCGGTGTGGTGGTGCCTCTCCATAGTCACAATTACAGTGGTTTCGGTGGATCAGTTCGGGCCCCCGTTTGCGGTTGATTAACTGTGATTTCGTGTGACTTTTATTGTCGCCTCGTAGCTGCGGGATATCAGCTTATATACCATTTTCGTGGGGTATAATGGTTAGAGGACTGAGTTTGTAATACAATAAAAGGATATCTATTGTTGATCTTTAATTTAACCTCGAAGTTGATCAAGATTATATCATTTCTTATCTCATTTGTAGATTAAATATTTGAGTATTTAAAGCCTTTTTTGATCAGGTAAATCAGTTAGCCGTATCCTTTAGTAAACACAGTTAATTGTTTGCTTTGTTTTTTATGATCCTATCAAAGTTTTTTACTAACAGACTCAAAGATATCATAGCCTTTTCCCCTAGGGTATTCCAATCTTCGAACTCAGAGTTAACCCTTTCCTTCTTGTTATTTTTTAAGTTTGCCGCGTCACACATAATATATTCGTTTGGAAGGAATATGATGGATTACTTCCATATGCAATTTTCGTTAATATTTTGGTGTCGCTTCCATCAAATCATGCCACGAGTCATGACTTTTCATGATCACCATTCATAGAGTGATGTAAATGTACTTAAATTTGCGTATGAATTTGTAATATGTTATTTTTAGACACGGAAATTATGTGTTTTATATTTCTTAGTTGGAATAACTTAAACCACAATCAGTTATGTGTTTTGGATATATTTGCACGCACTTGAAGTCCCTGGGAGATTACGTTTTAAACCCGATTCAACTCTTTACCCGTTTGAGGGAGAACCGTAACCCGTTCGCACTGATATCCCGAAACAGACTGAGTCCGAGATTTGCATCGGCGGGTCGCTCTTCCGAAAAAAGCTTTAATATAATAATACAGCAAAAAGATAAAAAAAATATATGTAAATCCGAAAATTTGTTTTCGTTTTTAGAGACAATTGTTTGCCTTTGTGTGTGTGTTGCTGTGGATGTCGGGGGTGAACGACAACGAACAAATAAAAACATAAACAAGTGTTTGTCTCTTTCGAAATGTTCCCAATACGCATGTTCTGCACTTTCTAAGAGAGCTAGAGATTAAAGAGAGTTCACTGCAGCTGCACTATGAATGCACTTACATAGTTCTCACATACACTTTTACGAATATTAATAGCACTGCAGGATGGTCTTAGTAAAACACATTTCAATATTGAATATGTTCGTTACTAAACTCGAAAACTTAATCTTTTACGCTTTTCTTCTAGTTTTAACTAATAAAATTTTAATAAAATGAGAAGATTTAGTGTAAATTAAGATTCCTTCCTCCCTACTCTTCGTTGCCATTTCAATTTTTTATACAAAATCAAACAATTTTCCGTCCTATTTTATTACCCCAAACTGTATTCTACTTTGTTTGTTCTATCTTTAGTCAGCTTTTGCCTCTCCCTACTTTTCCGTATATATAGGACAAGTGAAACAGGACCGCCCATGGGTTCATTGCTCCTGGCTTTGGATATGAACAAAAATTAATTATATGTATTTAATATTTACATATACATCACGGTACAACATTTCTACAATACTAACTAATCGCCCAGCGCCGGCACCTTGAATATCTTGGCCATGTTGTCCTCGGAAACAGTTAACAGTAGATTTTCCTGTGCCTTATAGACGAACTCGTAGATGTGATAGAAGTGACCCGTCAGTGTGAATTTCAGAGATCCCGTGCGTGCGTCAAAAGCATTTAGGTTGCCTTGTGAGGTGGCTGCCAGAATTGTGTGGTCGCTCAGCCACTTAATCCTAGAAAATTTGTACAACAATTATTAAACTGTGTAAGACAAATATCTTAAATTATAAAATACTGTAAATTCTTAGACTGGACTTATTCAGCTTAAAAATAACCGGTTTAGCAGATGGAGCTCACCTTATGACACCATCATTTGGCACTGGGTTTTCACATATCGTACGAAGGGCGGATTTGGAGTAGTCCCAGATGGATATTCTACCGTCCAATGATCCGCAGGCAAAGAGTTTAAGGTCGGCCGAAGGAGGAGCAAAGGCTAGACACTCGATGCCGTGCTCCGACTGAATGGTGCTAACAGGTCCGTTGTTGGTGCAGAATAGCATTTTGCCTAAAAGGAACATTCCGTTTAAATAAATTTTAATTTTTTAAGTTATTAAGGGTTAAGTTTAAAAACCACAAACCTGAGGCCTCAGCACAGACGTAGAAGGGGGATTCCCTTTCGCAGGCCACCACGGCGTGCGTGATCTCGCCAAATCCCATAGGATTTTGTTCGTTGACCTCCATGATCACCTGGCAGCTCTTCAGATCCCACAGTTTTACAGATCCATTCAAATAGACCGTGAATAGCTTTTTGCCATCGCCGCTAAGCTCTCCAGATTCACAGCGTGACGACTGTCCTGGTAGGATCTTGCAGTCTCCGCTGGGTATGCGCCAAACAAAGACCTCTCCGCTGTCACTTCCCGCCAGCAGGATGTGGGCAGCCCGGTGCCAAAACAGCCAGGACATGTCGCTCATAGAGTACTCCCAGACTTTGGTGAGGACCGGACGCTCCTCGCGCTGTTCGCTGACTTTGAAAACGAACAGTTCACCGGCCAAGTCACCAGTGGCTAAATAGACACCATCATGGCTGAAGTGTGTTTCGGTGACAGTGTCCTTGTGGTCCGTAATCTCGTAAAGTACCTCGCCTGTGGTGGTGTCCCAAACAATGGCTCGGTCGTCCTCGCTTCCAGTTACAGCCCAATTGTAAGTAGGATGCAGACTGCAGGCGAAAACGGGAGCCGTGTGTTGCCGGAAGGTGATCTCCGCTTCATCTTTAATGTTGCGTATTCTCTCTTGGTCACGTAGCTCCTCTAAATCTTCCTCGTCATCATCATCATCGCCGCCTGCCATTGCAAGTCGTGCTTCGAGTTGCTCTAAAGTCACCTCTTCCAAATCGTCATCATCATCCTCCAGCGGTTGCTCTTCCAGGTCAATAATCTCCTGAAGCTCATCTTCGCCATCATCAAAATCCGGCCGGTGCGGCGGTGTGTTGTCGCGCATTTTTACGCCTTTATTTGTCCAAAAGTTTAGTTGAAATAACAACTAACAGCGTCACACGTGCTAGTAATTTGGCGGTGTGGCAGCTCTTTCAGCTGTTTAGTTTTAGTTTAAGCATCGATTGTTGAGACTATCGATAACATTTTGCGATTTTGAACTGACATTTAGTGTTGGAAAGAGAGAGGTTTTAAGCGGGTCTTTTAAACTTTATTTTGAACTGATAAGAACTAACTTTTTTCCTAAAAATTGCAACTATTTGGATAGAGTTTTTTGGTTTTTGATTATTGCATTACGGTGTAATATATCAAATTTTGACATATCTTTTTCTAGGATTTCGTTTTGCACTACGCATGACAGCCGTTTCTCTTTCCCCTACCCTTGACCTAGAGATTGGTCTACTCATGGAATTCAATTTTAAGTTATCGTTGACCTTCTGAACCCTTCCAATCAGATTGTCCACGGAATCCAGTTCCCCAAAATCACATTCAGCATCGCAAATGTCTGCCCTGTGCTCAGCATTTTCCACCTCCTTGTCCAGATCCTTTATTTGCTGTTCCAGGGCATCGATGCGATCGAGAAGTTCCTTTTCGTAGCTGGCAATCTGTTTGGGAAACTCCATGGCAATAGCCTCAAGTTTACTTAGCTTTTCGTCATATTCCTCTGGTGATTCCATTGTTTTACCTTCCAATTTGGCAAGGCGCTCTTCGATAAGATCTTGTTCTTTTTTCATTTTCTCTCGGAAGAGATTAATATTTTTTTGTTGCTCCCTAAATTTTCTATCGAAAGTTTCTATTTCTATTTCGAATTTTAAATGGGTGTATTGAAGTTGTCGTTCAAATAAGTTAATGCCATTTTCGGTTAAGTTGTCTATATCTTTTTCTAACTGATTTATCTGTAGTTGTAAAGAATTTTCCATTTCTTTAGCTTTATCATCATTTTGCTTATCGGTTAAGATTTTTTGTTGATCTTGAATTTGCTTGAAGCGCTCTTTGGTAATATTTTCTTGCAGCTCGTAAAATGCGATTGCTTCGTCTTTATCCTTATTTATTTCTTCAAAAATCGCTTTTAAATTTATTGATTCATTTAAACAAATTTGAACTGAACAGGAATTATCAACTTTATCAACTTTTTTGGTTCTCGCAAGAGTGCTTTTAATTTTCGTGGTAAGAACTGTGATATTGGTAACTACTGACGAACTATTTTTGATCATTTCGTCTACTAACTTTTCAGATTGTGTAATATTAGTCCAATTTACGGAATTTATTAAATTTATATTATTAATTTGCTGTTCTAAATTTACAACTTTAGTTAGGAGATCCTTAATAAGACTGTCTTTTTGTAGGCACTCAGTTCCGTAGGTGGAATTTATTATCTGCAGATATTCCTTTTCCGAGTTAAGCTGACTTTCCACAAAGAAAAGCGTTTTATTGGTGTCTTGCAGATTTTCCTTCAATGGTTCTATAGGTTTTGTTATTTCTTTAAGCGAATTATCAAACTCTTCTAAGACTTTGTTTATATTTTTAATTTGTTCTTTGGTGTTGCCACAACAAGTATCTTTAACACTCGGATTATCAAGAGAACTTTCTATTAGATGAAACTCCTTCTTTTGACTTAAATACATATCTTGGAGGATCTTTTTCTTTTCAATAATTGGTTGAAGGTCAAAACTGGCTTTCTGCATGCTTAAATTTTTAAGATTATCCATAAAATAGTTTTTAAAATCGTCAAGCTCATCTGTTATATTCGGGCAACACTTCAACATTGAGTCATTGTAACCAATTAAATTGTTATGGAAGCCTTCTAATCTGGTTTTGAGACTGGAAAGATCTGAATTTATATCTGTGTACTCGGGTTTTGTAAATGATTCATTGCCGTAAAGTTTCTGAAGGAAATCGATACCATCGTTTATGATTTCTAAACGATTTCGTATTGACTCATAGGGACAGCATATTTTCTGCATATCCTTTTTAAGTTTTTGCAAAAAATCCGAAAATTTCTGGATATCTTTGTCCAATTTTCGCGTGCCGTTAATCTCGCCAGAAATCCATTTGCCATATGTCCCATTTGCATCACAGCTTTTGGGTGAAACTTTAGGTTCAAGTTTTGATGGTGAATTCGATTCATTTTCATCTTCTTCCGCAGATTCTGTCGTTTCGTCCGGATCATGAGTTCTATTGCACCAACCTTGCCAACTTCCAAATGACAACTTAATGTTTCGTCCTTCGTTGGCCGTATCTATTATGACGAAAAGATTCTGGATTAAGAATCTATCATCGATATCCTTCTGCCATTCGGCGGCAACTTCCCAAAACATTTCATCTCCTTGGGCCGTAAGACCTTCTGGCACGCAATGGCCCAATCTGTATTCAGCTTTATCCTCTTCTGTTAACACTTTTTCCACATTCGCTTCTTCCTCTAAATCGGGATAATCCTGCGGCTTGTCCCAGATCTTGTGGCAAATCCTTCTGAGCTTTACACAAAGTTCGAATTTTTCTATATTGTCGCGAAAAATTTTAAAGGCATTATCAGTTGATTTCAGCATCTTTTTGATATCATACGATCGATTTGAAGTTGTCATCATAAGTAGACATGTGATAAAAAGTTTCAAGCGAATCTGGATTAAAAGAAAGATTGTTATTGGTAGAGAGAGTTCTACATGGTTTACTAGTTAATTATGATAGTGGGAAGTAATCGTTTTTTGAAGACAACTCAGCATTTTCTTTTGAAACTCTTAATTAAAAATTATTTCTTTAACAACTCGCTCTTTAGAAATTTATATCAGGCATAGGCATTCATACTGAGGGGAAAAAAATAATAATTGCTATACATTATTGGTTACATCTTGTGAATGCCTGGGGGGATGATTACTTTTCACTCTTCTCTTCTTTTTTTTTCTGACGGGGTTGGCTATTTACCATGACTTGACTGCTAACTTGGCTGCTTGATTTACATCTGATTGCTTTCATTCTTTGGGATCCATTAGAGTCTTCTACCCCCAACTCTACCTGGGCAACCTTTTCTAATTCAATTCGTAATGGTCGGGGTGCAGAGGGACAGAGACCTGTCTATTGTTACCCTATTCTTGGGTCTGGTGCATTTATTTTTGTTTAGGTGCATTTCGGTTTCCAACGGTTTCCCACGGTTTCTTCCGTACGTGTCCTGCGCGTGAGGAGCGCACGCATAACGTACGTTCCCATGATTTTATATGGAGGGTCCTCAAAAGGAGTCATGGTGAAAAAAAAAGGAAATGATTAGGGGAAGCAATTCTAGCAATCCTCCTACCTGCTTGGTAATTGTAGAGGTTTTTATTGATAAGCCCTAAGGTAAACATTAACAGGAAAAAAAGATTTATGCCAAATGGGGTAGATAAGATACTCTTTCGGTTTTCTTTATTCGGAATTGGTCAGATTTTTACTATATTTATTTTGTGTTTTTTTATATAAACAGTTAGAAAATGTATATTAGTTTGTAGAATGTGATACTACATGACGATCTTTATCTGCTTGATAAATAATTCATAATTTGTATCTATTATGTATGAAAACATTCCTCGGAGACAACATGCTTATGATTAAAGTCATATCAAATTAACCAGCATGAATCTGTAACTTTCTTTTATTATTTATTATAATAGTTATTTAAATACCCCCTGTTACGCTCCCTGTATATATATAAGGAAAATCATTCAAAGGATCCCCCATTCCAGGGTGTCTACCATATTCGTCGTCGAATCTTTATTTTTTCATGATTTTGCTATGCGTAAATAGTCCCGCATCTGATTGACTTGGTCATGAACGGTCATTAAACTGCATTTCCAGAGGGGCGTAAAGCGTTCTTGTATATCTACATACACACTATATATGAGCTCAATATATGTATCTGTATCTGTATCTGTAAATGCATCCACATGTGAGTGGCTGTGTATTTTATATGCGGAATGCACATAAGCTCCATTGGCGAGGGACGATTCTTGTTTTGGGGTCCGCGAGATCGTTAAAAACGAGTCAAAGACTCCCTTTTCTCGACGATCACTGGAGTGAGGTGGAGTGAGGTGGAGTGAGTTTGGAGTGCGAGGTGCGGCGGACCCTAGAGATTCTGATGCTGCCGAACGTGCGTGTGGAAGAAGATTAAACGAAAACAAATCACACCAACAGTAAAAGGGAAACAGAAAAGTCAAAAGAGTTTCCAACGGTCGGTACAGTTGGAAAAAAATCACTGTTGGTTCGGTGCTATTAAAATAACATAAAAATTTAACGTAATAGTTATAGATTTTAAAGTGGCTTAGGAATTTTATACTTAAAAATATAAATTTCTTATTTTATAGTTTATTAGTTTATAATTCAATAGTGTTTAAGTAAATATTTTACTTATAGAAATGTATTTTTAAGAAATTAGATTTTCTATACAATAATTATTGCCTACTTTTTGGCGACATATTTTATCGATTTTTCTAGAAATCTAGCTATACAACCTATCTTCTATAACTTTGATTTCCTTATCTATATATACAGTGCAAATTCATATTCATATTGAGTAACTTAAAAACATCTTAATTCTAAATAATTTTGTTGTGGAAGGGACCGAGAATTTGGAACTGTATTGACTTTACGAAGTAAGATAAAATAAACTGAATATAAAATATTTTTTGTTACCTAATAATTATTTGAAATTATTTATATATCTATTAGTCTTTAAAATTTGACAAGTACTGGCTATATCAGTAATCATTCTATTTTTATCAAATATTTATTTTAACTTTTTTCAGGCCAATGACGATAAGAAATAGGAAACTTATTTTGTATCTCTTGCCCAAGGTCGAAATATTTTCAATTTCAGATAGACTACAAAATACGCATCCTTGAGATTTCTGTTTAGCTGGAAATGCCAAGCATTATCTTAAGGAAAAATGGATAATGAAAACTCATTTTTCCGAGTGCAGACGAAACGAATGACCTGAAGTAAACAGAAGATCGTGCGAGGGGAGGGTAAAAAGTGATAAACATAAAAATGGGTAGTAGCCCGTCGACTGTAGATAACCGAAAAGGGCCTACAATAAATGGTTGATAACGAAAGGCAAACACACACACACACACACACATAACCAAAAAGAGAGTCAGGCAAAGGGACTTGTGTTTGTGTGTGAGTGGCAGTTTGTAAGTGAGAGTGAGTTGGTGTGAGTGCGAGTGCGCTTTGTTTATCTCTATTTACGCGGCAGCGGCGTCAACGTCGTCGCATCGCGAGCTGTATAAAATCCGGCGATCCGCCGATCGGAGAGTCAGTGTTCAATGTAAACCGTTAACGATCACATCTCCTCATCTCGTGGCACACCCACTTTCCCTCTTCCAAATCAAACATAAAAAGGAAAATGGGAGAGGGCGGCGATCGAGGATTGTTGCAGCTTTAAACGCGCTCCAAGCGCAACCCCCTACGTAATTCTACGTAACCTTGGATGGTACAGAAGCTTTAAAGACCGCTTGGCTCTCCCACAACTCTACACCAAGCTGCCATCAGTCCACCACCCATTTGGAAAAGTCTGGAGACAAGGACAAGGACATGGTCGACATGGTGAACGAGAGAACGGAGGACCAAACAGGACCGGGCTGGAGGAAAGTGCAATTGGTGACTTGGCGGGAGATTAAAACTCGAACAGAAGACTCCGTTTCGAGTGCGTTTCCCCCAAGGTCAACACCCCCCACATAATATAATGTGCAATATTAGTTGATTTGTTATTAACTGATTTGTTGTTAACTGATTTGTTATTAACTCGTTTGTTACTGGTTTCACGTTCCTGGAACGTTAGCTGTGATTGTGTTAAACCTTAAATGTTAAGATTGTTATATCATTGTTATGTTTGTTATTATTAAGATAGCAACAGCATCGCTCATGTCTTCCACTACCGTTAAGTGCAATTTAGCTTGTAAGAAAATTAGTTTTTCCTTTGTTGAAATAAAACAGCTCTTCATGGGAAAGCTAACAAAAAAAAACTGCTTTGTGTTTGAAATTTATGAATTTCTAAAAAAATATTTTATAGGTACCGAACTACACTGGATTCCGGTCTTTATCAAGGCGCAAAGAAAAACTTATTTGTTCTCTACATGCTTAAAGTTTCTAATAATATTTTCAGATTACTGTTCTTTCTTTAAGGAAAAGTCATCAAAAGAGTCCAAAGTAGAAGAAAAGCCATACCGGAAAACATTATTAGTGAAATCAACCACTTCTACAATTAAAAGTTTGCGAACAATTAACCAGAATTTTCTTACATTTTCAGTTTTTTTTCAAAGGGTTTTCTCATTACCCCTTTACCTACAATGAACAAATTTTTTCCTTTAAAGTAGATTTAAATAAGGTGTACTGGTTAAACATTCTTGGTTTTACTGTAAAATAACTAAGAAGTAGCTCTGAGGAGAGTTTTTTGCTTCTGAATACAAGAATCTTAGCCAAAGTTCTCTGTTAATAGCTTATTAATATTAGTGTTGAAAATCATTTATTAAACAAATAATTTCTGTAAAAATATTTCAAAATAGTTTACAAAAGGATATAAAAATAAAAATCAAATATAAATAGACTCTTTTGCTACTATTTTGCCCTATCATTAACTAACAGTTTTTTCATTGTCTAAAATATTTAAAAAAAACCCAAACTGTTATCTAAACTCTCATATGCTAAGCTGATGTGAGTTTTCGTCACAGTTTTCCACACATTTTCCAAAATCTCAGCCAGATATTTGAGTCAAAGTAAACAGAAACCCAACACATGTTTTGGTGCCGTGGGAATGTCCCACATCTTCAAAGGATCTCCAGACAGGACCTTTTTTCTGTTTATCCCAGTCAGAGCCATATGTTGTTTATGCCATGTAAATAACCCATTTTAGCCATCGTAAATAATAAGAAATTCAAATATGTTTTTCAATGTTTATTTTAGTTTTTTTGTTTATTAATTTTTCCTTTGAAAATCCAAACAATTGAAACCGCTTTTTGCACAGCAAAAAAAAGGATAATTGTTGGAATGCCTCCCACCACATATGAATGTGGTTACCCAATCGCTTTTTTCTTGGAAATTTTCAGTTTGAGTTTGAAAATCCGAAAAGCGCTGCCCAAGACCGATGAATCCAAAGTCGAAGTGCCCAAACTCTGGAGTACCCATCCCGCTGGAGAGCCAAGCTCCAGTCCAGTTGAAGTTATCCCAATCGAAAGTTGAAAAACCCCATTGTAGTTCAAGGTTGAAGTTGCTGTTCCAGGCGATTAGTTCAAGCTTGAGCCCAACGGTCGAGGAAGTTCCATTCGATGGCATAGGGTTCGCTGGCTTTGGGTTGAATGGAGGTCCAGAAGAAGGTTCCAGCATTGGTGCGAGCGAAGTGGACGGGAACGTAGTAATCCTCCTGGTCAATGGTATGGAGTTCTCCAGATCCGTTTTCATTATAAACGATGACGGCATCTTCCTTGGCGCATTGGCGAATCTCCTCGATCAGGCGATGCTCCAAATGCTCATTGGCCATGTTGTCCATATCGTTGCTGAGCCACTCGAATTCGGACTCCTTCTCCTCGGATGCAATGTAGGAGCTTCTCTTGGGCTGCTCCTTCTTTAGCTTGAAGACATGGCCAAGAAGGGGCTTCAACAGATTCTTAAGGCGACGAGACGGCGACACTTTCGACTTGTACATGTTGTTGTTGTTGTTCTTCTGCTTGCTGATGGCCGACATTAGATAATTTTCGTAGAAGATTTTTTGGTGGTGAGTTCGTTGAATGCGTGCTGAGATGTTCTCGCTTCGACGTTCGGATGCTGTGTGATGCTGTCTCTAAGACCAGAGGCGCTATTTATACCTTCTCGGCAGCCTGGAGGGATCCTACAGCATCTCAGCCAATCGCAGAGCTCGAAACGCAGGCAGGTGCAAGGATCCGAAATTTCACACGTTAGTCAGTGGCAGCAGGTAGGTCCTGCAGGACCTGAGATCTTCCGATCTACGTAGATCTTGTGCGAAGCGTGGGAATCTCGAGCCCATTTCTCCTTCCAAGACAATTATCCCCCCTGAAGGAATCCTTGGCGTGGGAACAGCACATTTCTGGCCTTCTCTCGTAGATTCATTTATTGTTTTGGGATTTCAGTTGGGTTTGTTGTGCCAGTTCATCAGAAATCTGTCGATCCTGTAACCGAAAACGAGCTACATTCTAAGCCAAATTTATACAAATCGTACACTTTCATTCTTAGGGTTATTATTTGGCTGATTAGTGATGGCATTGCCAAAAGTCCTTTGAGGCACGATCTTGAGATTTCTCACGTTCGGTTGGGGAGCTCTTCGTGCTTGGTTTTTTATGAGTTATTGGTTTACCAACACAATTTTCGTGTCACGCCAGGGGGTTTCGATTTTTTCTCATCACTAGGTCTTACTTTTTTGGTCCATGTCCTTAATTAATTGAATGGGGGGGTTTCTTTTTTGAGAACGTATCGTATTATAACTCATTTATTGTGGGACGTGGTGATTGTTCGTCTCACATTTGTATTTACAGCCTGTGAGAATCTGTAACTCGTGTTCTAATGGCACTCGATCGTTGGGAAATTTAAGATTGCAGATGATGTCTGTTTTGATTAGGGTTGACGGTATAAATTGATATCATATTTTCTTTGCAAATACATATTTTCTTAATGGTTTACAACTTTGTCTACCTAAAAATGGTAGTCCCTATATAAAATTGCATGAACTTAAGGGGTCATAAAAATGTATATGATGAATGAATGATAATTTAAACATTTATTACTGAATTTTAAAAGCAGAGAAGAGAGGAAAATTAAAGGAAATATTTTTATTGCTGATAAGGATAGTTGTGATTTTTATAAAACCTTTCTTAGATATGTAAAAATAATAATCAAAGTATGTTTATCATATTTAATATTTTTTATATAATAAAAATCGCAAAAAAAGCTATTTTTATAAATTGTCTAAATATTTTACATTTTTTAAATCATATAAAAAATAATAAAAAAATAAAATTTTACATTTTTTACTGAATTTTGTATGCTAAGAAGCGAGAATAATCAAATTAAATATTTTTTTATTGCTTGAAATAAGTAAAAATATTAATGATTAATAATTAATAATATAATTAATAATTATATAATAAGAAAAAGAAATATGCAAAGTTTTAAAAATTTGCGAATTTTATTTAATTTTTTAAATCATATAAAAATAATATAAAATTATATTTAAATTATTCGAATAAATCTTATTGTTTGTTGTTTTCAAAAGTTAATTTTTTACCTTTCAAAAATTTTAAAGCTTAAATTAATAAACTTTTTAACGTTCTTCTATTGAAATTTATATAATATCTTCTTAATATACTAACATATTTTTTCTTACCAGTTATTATGCCTCCAACCTTTTAAAAATGTCCATCAATTATGATCCTGCAACATTTTATGCCAAACTGTACCTAGATGTATGCTTTCAATAAAGAAACTGCATTGAGAATATATGTAAAAAAAAAAAAAGAAAAAAAACTATTTACATAACGCACAAGCAACCTTATGTACGCATATTCCCCCCTTTTGGAAATGCCTGGAAGATCGAACTGATCCGTGCGGCCTTTTCGCATTTATTATTGAGATAGGATTGGCTTTGTTGCTGCCCGGCAGGGCCCTTGTTTTTGTTTATCATCTTAGGGACCCCGTCTACCTGTTCCGATGCAATTCGAGATTTATTTTGTCCAGGGCCCAGCCCTAAGAAGGAGCGCAGAAAACGAAAATCAGAAATCGCCTCGAGGTAACAGGTTTCCCCAGCACAGAGATCACTTGATTTTTTTCTCTTTTGAGTTTTTCGAATCTCACCAACAGGTTTTGATCAAAAGGGAACAGGTAAAAGGTTTTATTTTTCGAGTTAAGGTTCTTAGGGTTTCTTGCCTTGGTTCCGGGAATGGGGAAGGGGTAAGAACGGTTTTTGGTTTACAAATTCTTGGAAAACCTTCAAGGAAATCACAATGACACAAAGGGGAAAGTTCGAATAAGAAATCAGAAGAAAAAAAATGCAAACAAGTTTCAGTATTAATATTATGTATATTTATTCATACATTCTTAAACATAGATGGAAGACAATGATTAAAGCTGTTTATAAATTTATGCATTTTGAAATGTCCACTTGCATAGTGTGGAGTTAAAGCTGATTCGGATGTTTAGAGACCGGATTCCGTTGAAGTCTTTAAAGCTGTTTAGGAAGTTTTTTTTTCGGAATTTCCCATTTTCCTTGATTACAGTTTGACAAACTCGGCTTCCAGGGTCTCGTTGAGGGAGTTCTGGAGCTCCTCTTCGGATATAGGCAGTGGGAGTTCCTTCGAGATGGTCTGGTTCTTGAGTTGCTGGTGGCCAGAAGTTTTAAAGATTTTGCAGGCCACCTTGAAGATCTTCTTCATGGCCTTGGCGGGGGTGTAGGTCTTCTTCTGGCAAACTGGATTGTAGGTGGTGTTTATCAAAGTTTCGTAGGCCATTTTTGCTAGTTTTTAGATTTCTCTTGTAGACTGTAGACTTGTATTGACTGTTCAACGTTGAGATTGAAATTGATGTCCTATTCGAAATCTCGCTCCGTTTTTATACCCAATCCCGGTGAAATCAACCCCTAAGCGAGGACCAATCAGGATGAGTCCTGACGCAGGTGCATTTCGGTTTCTCCAGATCTGAGAGTCATGCATTCCTCAACGCTCTGCAGGTAGTTTCGGATCGGGTCGGATCGGTTCGTGTCCCTTTTTTTTCTCTCGAGCGACCCTTGCACGTGTGCGAAGTAAGGCCACAATTTTCGAAGGCCCTAAATAAATCTCTCCCTGGATTTCGTCGTGGGAGAGTATAATTTCAGTCGAATACTTATCGGACGATGCGGCAAGCATGCACAAATAACCAAAAAAAAGTAAAATTGGAAGAAAAAACCATCATCATCCCTTTTTCATGGGTTCGGGTTAGTAATTTGAGTGGTTTGTTTGCGGAGGACTCGGCTCGAATTTATGCCTTGATTAGTTTTTGGCTATTAATTGTTAATAGGCTGACAGTGGAGGATAAAAGTGACAGACCCTCGTTAAACACATGTTGTCGGCAAACGAAAAATATTTACACGTCAACATTTCATTTTTGATCAGTACAGGTAGATAGTGGTCCTTTTGAGTACAGTGAACAATCTGATTGTTAGGCTCATGATTTTGCTAGATCTTTCGATGTGGTGATGGTTCTCCTGTGGCTGTCTTCACTGTCTTCACACTTGTTCCTTTTGGCTGTCCTTGTTGGTTAGCAAAATTTCATTTCGTGTTGAAATTCAGATTTCTTTGTCGATGGCAGAGAAGGACCTTTTCTCGGATTCTGCCCTAAAGCTATAAAGATTCTTCTGGATTTCTTGGTTTCTGAAACCACTTCAAAACTGGCTTCACTGTCCCCACACTTGTTTCTTGGAGTTTTCTCTCTTCTCTTTATGAAGAAAATTTAAATTTCGTTGCGTGTCGAAATTCAGATTTCGTCTCTTTTGGAAATACTTGTCACTTGTAATTTGGGATTTATTGTTATTCCAGTCGTGTGGAATCTTGGGAGTGAGATAGGATCCTGGCCTATCCACTTGGGGGGTGAACAACCAGGGACCTCATATGTTTGTGGCTCTCTTTACTATTCCACAGGCATAATTCCTTATAAACAAATTTTATTTTGGTGGCGTTTCAAGTTTAGTTGTTAGTGTCAGGTTTCCAGAAATTCAAGCGCCTGAATGAAGCCTGCATAATTAGCCTGTGGTCAAAGTGAAACAAAATACCTTGGATCGAATTTTATAATATTGATATATTTTACATTTTTAATGTGAAAAAATATACATTTCGAAAATGAATAAATATTTCATTTTGGTGAAAAATGCATTACATGATAAGCATAATAAAGAAGTTCCAAGAAGTTCTTTGGGTGTGTAATTTTGGTTAAAATAATTTTATTTTTGTATATTTTTAAAATAGAGTTTCATATTCGATTCATGAGAGGCTTAATTTTATATTTTATATATGTGTTAGTTTCAGCTGAAATGTATATTTTTAATCCATGAAATGGCATAAATGTCGTATGAAAATATTTAAGGGAATATTTATATATTTTAAATACAGAATGGCCCACGTAGCGTTTGCTTTTTGAACTATCGATAATTTTGACTTTGACATTTCGAATGTCATTTTCAATTTGGCAGATATTTAGTAGAAGGTTTGCGGTTTAGGAAATGGTTTTTGGTTTGATATTTTTCTAGCGATTTTAAAATGCAAATTCTCCGTGGGCCAACCTATACTACATTTTTAGTTAATAATCATGTGGAAAATGACTTCCATTCCCTATTTTAACTTTAATTAATTTAACTCGAACTTGCAAGTTCTCCTTAAACAAAATTGTATGATAGTTAAAAGTAATGATAACCAATTAAAAATATTACAAAAATTTTAAAATAATAAGTGTTCATACCTTTTGCATTTCTAAAGCCCAATAAATAAGGGAAAATAATAATTCATAGAATTAACAAACATGTTAATCAAAATATATTTATTAGTTGGATTCAGTTATCGTCCTTATACATATATAACAAGAAAATTGTACAAAAATGGAAATAAAATTAAATATTTACTTCAAGCATTTCAAATTGTATACCAGCAGAGTCTTTTGACTTGATTTGGGTGACCAAACAGGAATGAATGACACTGAAAGAGACACTGATTGGAATGAGGGTTACCAGCATAGTGAGTCCAATTTAAAAGCAATTTTTCCAAATCCAGAACTGGCCATACAGTTCCTATACAGAGACCTAGCTCAACTTCCAATGAGCAAACGTTAAAAGTAGTTTTTCTTTTCCAGCCATTGCAGTTTTAGTTATTTTCAGAGAACCTAAGAAAAGAATTACCATTTTTCCAAAGAGAAGACAAATTAAATTTTCTTTTTTTTTAGTTTTTTATTTCTTTTACGATTTATATTCTTAAAGCTAAAATTTTACATGGAAGACAATGATTCTTAGCCTAGTACCTATTAGAAGACCCTAACAAACAAACATGGAAGACAATGATTCGGCTAAGACTAACTTAAGGCTAATAAGACACAAGGAATCACAATGAGTTAACGACAGTAACGCTTGATTGTGACGAATTGAATATCAATTAGAGTTGCGTTTCCTTTGGGAGCCAAGCCCAAAGAATCCAATCTATGCCTAATATCACCCTGAGATTACGAACATGCTAAGCTGAACCCGCATCCATACGACGACCAATGGACGGAGACACTTGCACTTAAAGCTGCCAATTGGAGATTTTCCTGATGGATCGAAGATTGATTGGATGATGTTTAGGCCTGAACCCATCGATCGAACTGCTGGCGTAACTGCTGCTCCTGGTGCTGGCGAGCACTCTCGGCTGAGGTCCAGAAGAAGGTGCCACTGCTGGTGCGAGCAAAGTGAACCGGGATAAAGGTCTGCTCGGGATGGACGGGCACAATGTTCTGCTGTTGACCCTGCTGGACGATCATGGCACCATTGGTGGGGCACTGGCGAAGATCGCTATAGAGTCGCTGCTCCAACTCCTCGTTGGCCATGTTATCACAACTGGCCGCGGGATCTTTGCGCATGTCCTCCAACGAAGCGTTGATGGCATTTTGGTTCTGGATCTCAGCTAGAGTCTTCCGGAGCAACTGCTTCTTCTTCACCAGCCGCAGAAGGGGTTTGACCAGTTTCCTCAGACTCCGCATGGCCATCGTGTGCTGATCTGATTTCTGCTCCATCACCTTGCTGCTCTCAAACTTGTATTCCCGTGTGATGAACGACATTGTTATAAGGTTGTTTTTTTTTCGAGTTTGAAATATAACTTTTGATCTTGAGTTGGTTGCACTCGGATGAGAGTTGGTAGTGTTCTGGTTTCCCTCCTCTCGAGCAGCTCCTTTTATACGCTGCGTTCTCTGGCTTCTCTCGGCGGGGGAGAGTTCTCTAAAAGAGCGGTGTTACTCTCTTTCGGTGAGCTCGACCAATGGTAAAGCAGACTGCAGGCAGGTGGTTGCACAAACCTAGAGAAGGAGAGGCAAATGAGAGGAAAGAGAAAGCGGTCTTGGGATCAGGAGAAGATCCTTACCCATGCGAAGGTAGGGTATGTTCGGTTTTTTTCGAATTGTGCATTACAATTTTTGTTTTAGTAAGTACCTCTTATTTTAAGGGGACTTTGATAATAATAATGCATAAATTATAAAATTATATTAAGGGGTGGAGTTTTAAAAAAAATTTTACAAAATAAATAAATAAATTATTTTATATTTCAACCGATATTTACAAAAATTGAGTGAATTTATATCGTTAATAATGTTAAGTATTAATGGTGAATAAAATAAAATGAAATGTTTTTAAATATTTTATAATATTTATTTAATTTTCATTATGAAAAGTTAATTCCTATGTTAATATCCTGTTTTTCGTTTTTATAATGTATTAATCTTGTTTTAAGTAATTTATTTTAAAGTGTTGTTAATATTTCATAGTACTTAAGACTAAAAAAAAATATTTAAATATTTATTATAACAATTTTCAGATTTTGCTATGTTGCGCATTTTTCTATAGCTTGGATTTATTAAATTTAATTTTAAATTTTAAGAAAAACTAAATATCGTATGTCTCCCACATGACTTCAAATACTGGGTATTACCCACTCGACTTGCTCATTCACTGCAGGTTTTTAACGGATTTTTCGGATCTCTCGCTCTGCTCTCAACCTATCTCCCCCTCTGAGATGCTCACTACACCCCTCCCACAGCTCTCTTACCTGCTCGACTCTGGCGCAAAGAAAAAGTAGAAATCCCTAAATCCCAAACGTAAAATTCCTAGAGAGTACCGAACGGACAAGTCCCAACTTGTTGGAAAAATTCCGAGCCCGAGTGTGAGGGAAGAGAGATTTTAAAATTCGACACACTATCCCGAAAAAAGACGGAGGATATGGACAAACAATGGATTGGCATATCTGTGAGATACAATCTCGCCGCTGGAAATACCCGAACGGCCAAGGGACTTGTCCGTTATTTCATTGAGACAGACCAGAAAGTGCCTTTATGTCCTTCCGTCCGCTAGTCCTTTTCCCATTTTCCCAACCTGTAGTAGGTAGTTGAGCCAAGTAATGTAACGTATTTTTTGGGTACTTGCATAGCGATGTGGGAATGGGAATGGGATGGGATCGGATCGGATCGTACCTCTCAAGGTTAGTCAATATGCATTAATGCCGCATTTTGGGAAATCTTGGCAGGTCCTTTTCAGCTCCTTCCGATCGCATTTGTTTGTCATTGTTGTTCTTTCCCCGGTTCGAGGGACCTGCTCACTGTTGATGCGTGAAAAATTTACGACGCGGGAGAAGCACGTACAGATAGAATCTTTAAGGTTTTGGTTTTTGGCTCGGTTTACGCATTTTACTGGAATTTCGTCGGCACTTCGTTTATGAGTCGCCTTCCTAATTGTTATTTGCCCTTTTCACTTGCCCTCCGAAGGTTACTTTCATAATTTTGTAACGGCTCCGAGGACTTGAGTTTCTTGTAACGGTCGTTTCGTCTCTTGGATATCCTTGGACGGTCATTAAGAGGGTCCCTAATTGGACCCTCCTGTCTGATTATTCTGCTCCTGATTACGCAGAGCTTCTATGGTTTAAGGTTCCCCTTTTTGTTCGACTTAAACCAGTTTTTATTTGGTGCGGAATTCGGTGGGGCTTATATTGTATATATCAATTTCATTCGCTGCGAGACAGAATCAAGAAGGTTAATCTGGGGCCGAAACTTTTATGGCTGTCGGTGACCTGATTTGACCCTTTCCACACGTTACACATATCGTTTACCCTTTGGTCTTCGTTTTCGGCTTATTAATGAAAGGCGTCTCAGGTTGATTTTATGTTAATTTTTATTATGGTTCAGGATTTGAAGATGCCATTGCTCAGGTGCACTAATTAATAATGGGATAAACATTCAAATGGGGATTATTTTATGTTGAAATAAATGGGTTTTCCACATCTTCCTATGTTGACAGGTACAATCAGGTTTCGCTTTTTATAGAAAAGACATTAAAACTTATTAGAATTTATAGTTTATTTTGCTGTTTTAAAGTTTATTTTAGTTCCTATCGCTATTTGTAAGGCCTTTTGATATTTTTTTACTTTAAACTTTAAATTGTAATCTTAAAATCTTTAAATCTTTAAAATAGAATCTTAGTAAATATTCTTATTAAAATCTTTTATGTTGTTCTTGCTGTTTTTTCTCATAAAATAACAGTTTTTTATAGTTATTATTCAGTGGAACTTTCGAACTCTAACTTTTTAACATTGTTTTTAATATCAAATAACTAAAGAGCATTGTTGATTATTAAAGAATCGTTTGTTTTGGATACTTCCCATTCTCTATACTGCACTCGTTTTTTGTCGTTACCAAATAAATACATTAACAAAAATGTTTTATTGTTAGAAAAGCAAAGATAAAAGTAAAAATAAAACAAAGAAATAAAGAAAGACTGCCGATCCCACAGTCACAGTGTTTACACACGTGCAACAGTTTTTGGTCCTGAAAATTTCTAGCAAGTCTAGACATGATCACTTGGTACAAATTCTACTCTACTCTATAGAAATTAGGTCTCTTATTTGCCAAAGAGCTCAGTGTTTTAGGGTTTCATGTTTTTTGTATAGTAAAAAGTAAAGGTTTTCCAAAATCTTATCTGCAAACATCAGCCACCGATCTCAGCGATCTTCGCGACGATCATGACTGTTGATGGCCGTCTAGTCGACCGTTAACACAACCTTCGTGAGGTGCATTAGTTTTGGGTCATTTTAGGGTTCATCTCGTTTCGTTTTCGTCTCGTTTAATCCTCTTTTATCTTGCATTTCTGATGTGTTTTGGGGTTTCTCTTTGTTGTTTTTTTTCTCGAATTCTTACCTGCCGATGCTGTGCGTTTGACCCTTGCACGTGTGCAATGATGGACCCTTTTTCGAAAATGCAACAATGTACAATAGCCGTGACAGTGGTGGAGTGGGGGGTGGAAGGGTACCATTAATGTTGGTCCATCGAATGCCACTCCAATCCGGCGTAATTGTGACCTTCCGGAAAAAGGGATTAAATGCCGCCATTGTCCAACATCGATTTTTTTGGCCCTGAAATCAGAAACTCTAAAAAGGGTCCTATCAAATGCAAAGAGTTCTTTGGTTTCACTTCAAATTCCTACCAAAAATTGTACCCAAAATGTAAATGTTTAAGAATTGTAAGAAAATCAGACGAAGCGAAAAAGAGAATTTCCCCAAATATAATCTTTTGAATAGAATTTGAATTTGAGCGTGATGTTTTTGTGAACTCCGCTGATTGATTGATGGGTTGGGTTCGAATTATAAAATCAAATGAGACGATCCCTTAAGAGATTGTTCTTGGGGTTGAGCGATTGAATTTGTCCTTCGTTGGTTTTGATTATCGGGCGGGGGGTTTTATTTTATGGTTTGGTAATTGAATGCGTCTGGCCTTGGTTTTTATTAATGTATTTTGGGTATTGCAGAATAGGGAGTTGAAGTGCTTGTAATGTTGATTATTCCACCTAGATAGGTACTTGAAATTCACTTCACTGTGTATTGATAATAAAGTTGTAAAATCTAGAGCCGGGCTGCTCAAATTCGACTTACGGTAGAGCTTTTAGTAACACAAATACAAAAAAGCGTGTATATATTTAGTGACGCTTTTGTGTTGGTTTGCAGCTATGCACTGAGAGAAATAAAAACACTTCTGCTTGCTAACTAATTGCAAAAGTGGAAACCAGTGCTAGTTTTAGAGGATGATCCAGGAAAAAAAAAAAAAAAAACATACAACAGTTAGTTACGGAATGAGTCGGTAGAGAAAAACGAAAAACAGTCCACGACGAAACAGGCCCCAAAGTGCAAACAGAAGTTATAAGAAATAAATTTCAGTGCAAATGTTCGAGGATGATCTAGGAAAAAACAAGAACAACATTGGAGTGACGGTGACGGAATTAGGCGAAAAGAGGACTTCGAAAATTTGTTAGTGGAATAGCTCCGCAAGCGCTCAAAGCTTATGGGCTAACAAGCCCAGGGAGGATTTACAAAAACAAATGAGCACTCAAAGCATAGGCTTTGAGCTAGACTCTATCTGCTGCAGCAAAGTACATACAGTCAGCACATAATTTATTCGTACACCCATGAGTTGCAACAAAGTAATTTTTTACGAACAAAAATTATTCGTACACTTCTCATTCTTCACTTCTATTTCTGAATACAACGGTAATCCTCGATTTTTACTTAAACTCTACTTCGGAGTAAGCTTCGGTGTGCTATTTTCAAACTCAATAAAACTAGTATGAACTTCGGTTTATAAATGGTTTTGATTTCAAGCTATCCCACATCTTACCTTTTGACTTCAAATTGAAGCAGATTTTTGTATAAAACATCGTCTATGTAATATTTATTATAATCACACTTGAAAGAAGAACTTAAACCATTATGTTGTCAGCCATTAAAAATATTTATGAATTTCTTTTACTTTAGATTTTGTTAACATGAAAAAAAGACCAGAGATATAAGTTTAATAGAATAAAATCCCATAAATTTACTCTCTAGAATTTTAAACGACACATCCCCGCTGCGAATCTGAGTTTATAGATTTGTGGCAACTTTCACAATACCAAAGATGGTTGACATCAACCTGTTGTTTGCCTTAGTTTTTCTGTGTCCTGTCAAGTGTGAAAAATCGCGCTCTTCGAAACAAAGGCGAAATCCATATAAATTCTGAAAAGGTTCTGCTAATTCCAGGAATGTCAAGTCGATTTGACAAAAATGCCAGACAGTGGATAATTTTCCTGGCGCCGGCGTCCTGTCGCTCATTGTCCTCCTAACGACTCGAGACGCCTGGCCAGACT